GTTTGTGTGTTCTTTTTCTTTCGAATTTTCAAATAAACTTGACGTGTTTTATGATTAATAGTGATGTTGTGCTTATACTATTTTGGACACACTGTCCTCAGGCTCCAGCTTTATGTTGTATGTTGATCGTATTAAAACAAAGAAAACAATCTGAAGTTGTTGTTTTTAAGTTATATATACCATGATTTTTCCGGTCCGGCCCACTTGGGAATAGATTTTCCTCCATGTGGCCCCTGAGCTAAAATGAGTTTGACACCCCTGGTCTAGACTTTTAGTGTGTGCGTGTGTGAGTTCGCTAATTCTCTCTATGTCAATTCAGAAAGTTTCCTAAAGTAGCCTGTCTGGACTACATCAATTAATAAGAGAGGAGGGACAAATAATATAACTTAACCCCATGTTCCATAACATTGTCATGGAAATTATTTATGTTTTTTCCAACTACCAATTAGCAACTGTGCCATAAATCGCTGAGATTTCCGAAAGGCGTGGAATGTTAGCTAAAAAGACTAGTACCCAGACTAAAGGACCATAGCTTGCAATACAAAAAAATAAAGAGGATGGGCATAAATTGTAATTTGCTATAATTACCTTTCAAGGCCTTATATTTCTTCGGAGTCAGGGGAGGTTTTGGAGCAGTTTTTAATGTGGGGAAGGCTTTTCCCTCCAGGCTCCTGGTGCTGAGGGTTGCTGAACCCTAGATGGACGTGGCTAATTATTTCACAAACATGGAATCTCTGATTTGCAGATTTATTTTTAAACTGGTCCTTTTGGATGAAAACCCCCTCTCCAATATGTATCTGTAAAACATAATCATATAGGTTTAATTTAATCAGGGACTTCATCAGGAGTATGTTGGATCAAGAAGAAACAACTGTGTCCCATATTATTCAAAAGGCAAAACAACATTAACTGAACATTGTGCACCAGGTAAGTATTTTTGTAACCCCGCACTGGGCACAGACGTCAGTTCAACGTGTAGTTTTGATTTACATTTGGTTGAGTTGTCAATTAATGCGAAATCAACAAAAAATATTCACCATGTCATTGGATTTAGGTTAAAAGTTTGGTGAATACAAAATGCCCTTACATTGATGACTTTTTGCAAATCCAAATAGTTTTCCACGTTGATTCAATGTCATCACAGATTTGGGGGGTTGAAATGACGTGGAAACAACGTTGATTCAACCAGTTGACCATCGTCTCCTGTACTGTATGCCAAGTAACCCTGCCCCTGCCCTACAACTCACCTGTACTATATGCCAAGTAACCCTGCCCCTGCCCTACAACTCACCTGTACTGTATGCCAAGTCACATTAACCCTGCCATCCTCTCCAAGACTCACCTGTACTGTATGCCAAGTCACAGAAAGCCTCCTCTCCAAGACTCACCTGTATTGTATGCCAAGTGACCCTGCCCTCCTCTCCAAGACTGTTTGCCAAGCGTGTACAATGCAGTCAACATTCACTCAAGCATCAAGTGGCTAAATTGACATCTAAGACTAATAGCCACAACATTAAGACTTTGGAAATATTTAGGTAAACAATAGAATAACTAGAATAGAATAATAGAATACAGTGGGGAAAAAAAGTATTTAGTCAGCCACCAATTGTGCAAGTTCTCCCACTTCAAAAGATGAGAGAGGCCTGTAATTTTCATCATAGGTACACGTCAACTATGACAGACAAAATGAGGGGGAAAAAATCCAGAAAATCACATTGTAGGATTTTTTATGAATTTATTTGCAAATTATGGTGGAAAATAAGTATTTGGTCAATAACAAAAGTTTCTCAATACTTTGTTATATACCCTTTGTTGGCAATGACACAGGTCAAACGTTTTCTGTAAGTCTTCACAAGGTTTTCACACACTGTTGCTGGTATTTTGGCCCATTCCTCCATGCAGATCTCCTCTAGAGCAGTGATGTTTTGGGGCTGTCACTGGGCAACACAGACTTTCAACTCCCTCCAAAGATTTTCTATGGGGTTGAGATCTGGAGACTGGCTAGGCTACTCCTCCCCCTCCCCCCCTCCTCCCTCTCTGTGGATGACTTCGTCAACCATTTTGAAAAGGAGTCAAATGACACTGCTGGTCCTGCTCACACTGCCCTACCCTATGCTTTGACTTCTTTCTCCCCTCTCTCTCCAGATGAAATCTTGCGACTTGTGACGGCCAGCCGCCCAACAACCTGCCCGCTTGACCCTATCCCCTCCTCTCTTCTCCAGACCATCTCCGGTGACCTTCTCCCTTACCTCACCTCGCTCATCAACTCATCCTTGACCGCTGGCTATGTCCCTTCCGTCTTCAAGAGAGCGAGAGTTGCACCCCTTCTCAAAAAACCAACACTCGATCCCTCCGATGTCAACAACTACAGACCAGTATCCCTTCTTTCTTTTCTCTCCAAAACTCTTGAGCGTGCCGTCTTTAGCCAACTCTCTTGCTATCTCTCTCAGAATTACATTCTTGATCCAAACCAGTCAGGTTTCAAGACTGGTCATTCAACTGAGACTGCTCTTCTCTGTGTCACGGAGGCTCTCTGCACTGCTAAAGCTAACTCTCTCTCCTCTGCTCTTGTCCTTCTAGACCTGTCTGCTGCCTTTGATACTGTGAACCATCAGTTCCTCCTCTCCACCCTCTCCAAGTTGGGCATCTCCAGCGCTGCTCACTCTTGGATTGCGTCCTACCTGACAGGTCGCTCCTACCAAGTGGCGTGTCGAGAATCTGTCTCCGCACCACGTGCTCTCACCACTGGTGTCCCCCAGGGCTCAGTTCTAGGCTCTCTCCTATTCTCTCTATACACCAAGTCACTTGGCTCTGTCATATCCTCACATGGTCTCTCCTATCATTGCTACGCAGACGATACACAATTAATTTTCTCCTTTCCCCCTTCTGATAACCAGGTGGCGAATCGCATCTCTTCATGTCTGGCAGACATATCCGTGTGGATGTCGGATCACCACCTCAAGCTGAACCTCGGCAAGACGGAGCTGCTCTTCCTCCTGGGGAAGGACTGCCCGCTCCATGATCTCGCCATCACGGTTGACAACTCCATTGTGTCCTCCTCCCAGAGTGCAAAGAACCTTGACAACACCCTGTCGTTCTCTGCTAACATCAAAGCGGTGACCCGATCCTGCAGGTTCATGCTCTATAACATTCGCAGAGTACGACCCTACCTTACACAGAAAGCGGCACAGGTCCTAATCCAGGCACTTGTCATCTCCCGTCTGGATTACTGCAACTCGCTGTTGGCTGGGCTCCCTGCCTGTGCCATTAAACCCCTGCAACTTATCCAGAACGCTGCAGCCCGTCTGGTGTTCAACCTTCCCAAGTTCTCTCACGTCACCCCGCTCCTCCGCACACTCCACTGGCTTCCAGTTGAAGCTCGCATCTACTACAAAACCATGGTGCTTGCCTACGGAGCTGTGAGGGGAACGGCACCTCCTTACCTTCAGGCTCTGATCAGACACTACACCCAAACGAGGGCACTACGTTCATCCACCTCTGGCCTGCTAGCCCCCCTACCTCTACGGAAGCACAGTTCCCGCTCAGCCCAGTCAAAGCTATTCGCTGCTCTGGCACCCCAATGGTGGAACAAGCTCCCCCACGACGCCAGGACAGCGGAGTCACTGACCACGTTCCGGAGACACTTGAAACCCTACCTCTTTAAGGAATACCTGGAATAGTATAATAGTAATCCTTCTACCCCCCCTTTACTACCACTGTCTTTTGTCTAAACTAACATCTGACTTATTTCACCTGCTAGCACTGACTTGTTTAAAGAAATGTACTTATTGTGATCGAGATGTAGTTGTCCCTGATTGCACTGACTTTTCTCACAGCTGCTTGTTTGAAGAAGTGTACTTACTGTGATCAAGATGTGGTTGTCCCACTGGCTATCCTAAGTTGAATGCACCAATTTGTAAGTCGCTCTGGATAAGAGCGTCTGCTAAATGACTTAAATGTAAATGTAAGAATGGTCCACCACCCAAAGGACATCCAGCCAACTTGACACAACTGTGGGAAGCATTGGAGTCAACATAGGTCAGCATCCCTGTGGAATGCTTTCGACACCTTGTAGAGTCCATGCCCCAATAAATTGAGGCTGTTCTGAGGGGAAAAGGGGGTGCAACTCAATATTAGGAAGGTGTTCCTAATGTTTTGTACACTCAGTGTAGATTCTACAGACCCTATTGAGTACTCCCCACCCCACTGTTACATCGGCACAAATAATTGTTTTTCCTGTACAGTGCTATATTTGTAGCGTATAGTGTCCAGGCACCCCATTTGAAGCTATTTGACCACAGTAAAAGGCCAGCAACACTTCGTATTATTCAGAGCCCTATGAAATAACACCATAGATAGGTTCTACAGACCCTACTTAGTACTCCCCACCCCACTTTTACATTGGCACAAATAATGTTTTTTTCTCTATGCCAATATGTATTCCATATACAGTGATTCGCATTGTGGCCAATGGAATGGGTGTAGTAAAATGACAGCAACACTTCGTATTATTCAGAGCCCCATGAAATGACACCATATATACATTCTACAGACCCTACTGAGTATTCCCTACAAAACCTTTACTGTGTGACCAACAATAGTTTTTGCTCTATAAGCCAATATGTATTCCACTCAAAGTGATTTGCATTGTGGCCATTTATTTGACCTTGGAACATATTTTAAAACCCACATTTAATGTAAATGTCACCTAAATATGAACAAATATGAATCATTGTTAAAGTTTAGACAAATAATTTTCATATATCATGAATAAATATATGTTATTGACACGTTTCTGCTATTACGTGGGGGACTTTTACTGTGAAAATGTTTCGAAATTCCGTGATCCGGAAGTACTTTTTTAGTGTCGCGGACCAAAAAAGGCACTTCCGGGTCACGAAATTTCGGACAATTATAACAACACAGCTAGCTAGCTACTCATCTTGCATTATCTAAACATGTCTAAAATACAGTTGTTGAGAATTTTTCTCTACGATAGATTAACAGCTGCTGCTGAAGAGATATTCGAGGTCGTTGAAAAAACTATAGCAGAGTATCAGGAGGAAGTTGTCCGTCTACAGAGGCTGCTCGACATTGTTCTTCAACCTGAGATAAAGCAAGACGGAGCAGGTTTGTAACTCATTACGTTTGTCAAACTTACTCAACCTTCATTTTATGAAACAAAAGGAGCAATGCCAAAGATAGTTATTTTTGAGCGGAATGGTAACTAAATCAGGTAGATCTAAATGTCATAATGCAGTGTTTCCCCTATATAAATTTAGCAGTGGTGGCCCACCCCTGCTAAATTGTTGCCACCGCTGAAATTGTATATATATATATATATTGCCAGTCAAAATTTTTGACACACCTACTCATTCAAGGGTTATTCTTTATCTTTACAAATGTTTTACATTGTAGAATAATAGTGAAGACATCAAAACTATGAAATAACACATGGAATCATGTAGTAACCAAAAAAGTGTTAAACAAATCTAAATATATTTTAGATTTGAGATTCTTCAAATAGCCACCCTTTTCCTTGATGACAGCTTTGCACACTCTTGGCATTCTCTCAACCAGCTTCATGAGGTAGTCACCTGGAATGCATTACAATTAACAGGTGTGCCTTCTTAAAAGTTAATTTGTGGAATTTCTTTCCTTCTTAATGCGTTTGAGCCAATCAGTTGTGTTGTCACAAGGTAGGGGTGGTATACAGAAGATAGCCCTATTTGGTAAAAGACCAAGTCCATATTATGGCAAGAACAGCTCAAATAAGCAAAGAGAAACGACAGTCCATCATTACTTTAAGACATGGAAGGTCAGTTAATACAGAAAATTTCAACAACTTTGAAAGTTTCTTCAAGTGCAGTCGCAAAAAACATCAAGCGCTATGATGAAACTGGCTCTCGTGAGGACCGCCACAGGAATGGAAGACCCAGAGTTACCTCTGCTGCAGAGGATAAGTTCATTAGAGTTACCAGCCTCAGAAATTGCAGCCCAAATAAATGCTTCACAGAGTTCAAGTAACAGACACATATTAACATCAACTGTTCAGAGGGGACTGTGTGAATCAGGCCTTCATGATTGAATTGCTGCAAAGAAACCACTACTAAAGGACACCAATAATAAGAAGAGACCTGCTTGTGCCAAGAAACACGAGCAATGGACATTAGACAGGTGGAAATTTGCCCTTTGGTCTGGAGTCCAAATTGGAGATTTTTGGTTCCAACCGCTGTGTGGGTGAACGGATGATTTCCGCTATGTGTAGTTACCACCATAAAGCATTAAGGATGAGGTGTTATGGTGTGGGGGTGCTTTGCTGGTGACACTGTCTGTGATTTATTTAGAATTCAAGGCACACTTAACCAGCATGGGTACCACAGCATTCTGCAGCGATACGCCTTCCCATCTGGTTTGGGCTTAGTGGGACTATCATTTGTTTTTCAACAGGACAATGACCCAACACACCTCCAGGCTGTGTAAGGGCTATTTTATCAAGGAGAGTGGTGGAGTGCTGCATCAGATGACCTGGCCTCCACAATCCCCCGACCTCAACCAAATTGAGATGGTTTGGGATGAGTCGGACGGCAGAGCGAAGAAAAGGCACCCAACAAGTGCTCAGCATATGTGGGAACTCCTTCAAGACTGTTGGAAAAGCATTCCAGGTGAAGCTGGTTGAGAGAATGCCAAGAGTGTGCAAAGCTGTCATCAAGGCAAAGGGTGGCTATTTGAAGAATCTCAAATGTTTTGGTTACTACATGATTCCATATGTGTTATTTCATAGTTGTGATGTCTTCACTATTATTCTACAATGTAGAAAATAGTACAAATAAAGAAAAACCCTTGAATGAGTACGTGTCCAAACTTTTGACTGGTACTGTATGTATACACACACACACACACACACACTCTCCGGCCAGTTTATTTGGTACACCCATCTACTACCAGGTCAGACCCCCCTTTGCCTCCAGAACATAATTCTACAAATTGTAGGAAACTTTCCACAAGGATGTTGGTCCATGCTGACGCGATGGTATCACACAGTTTCTGCATATTGGACGGCGGTACATTCATGCTGTGAACAGCCCGTTCCATCTCATCCCAAAGATGCTCTATTGGGTTGAGGTCTGGGGACTGCGCAGGCCACTCAAGTAAACTGAACTCGCTGTCATATCCCAGGCAATGTTTTTCCACAATTCAATTGTCCAGTGTTGGTGATCGTGTGCCCACTGGAGCCGCTTCTTCTTGTTTTTAGCTGATAGGAGTGGAACCCGTTGTGGTCGTCTGCTGCAATAACCATCCGTGACAATGATCGACGAGTTGTGCGTTCCGAGATGCCGTTCTGCATACCACTGTGGTACTGCATCGTTATTTGTTTGTTTGTGGCCCGCCTGTTGGCTTGCACGATTCTTGCCATTCTCCTTCGATCTCTCCCATCAATTAACTGTTTTTGCCCCGCTGACTGGTTTTTTTTTTTTGTCGCACCATTCTCGGTAAACCCTAGACACTGTCGTGGGCGAAAAGCCCAGGAGATTGGCCAGTTTCTGAGACAATAGATCCGGTGTGCCTGGCACCGACGATCGTACCACGCTCAAAGTCGCTTAGGTCACGTGTTTTGCCCATTCTAATGTTAAATCGAACAGTAACTGAATGCCTCAATGTCTGTTTGCCTGCGTTATATTGCAAGCCACGGCCACGTGACTCACTGTCTGTAGAAGTGATCAATTTTCATGACCGGGGGGTGTACCTAATAAACACGCTTTTAAATGGATAGTCGTTGGCTCAATTAATGGAAGTCTACGGGAACAGCTAGCATGTCATTGCGCTAACGCTAGCAGCAATGCACCCCTCCACCCTACCCATCAAACCCAATTTTATGTCATATTCGCCGAATACAACCTGACCTTCTAGTACTCATTTGTGACCGACATAACACATGGCTTGTCCTTGTTCTCTGTCCGCATACAGCTTATGATTTCTCCATACATTTAATTAATCTTGTATCACAAATCATCATAACAATTCCTATTTTTCTTTCTATTTGTTGTTGCAAAGAGAATTCCATTAATATAACATTAATTGAACAAAACAAACAAAACATACAAATGAATTCCTAACATCCTGACATCATTCCACAAAATACATTGATTCATGACACATTCTAAGTTGCATGGAAATTATAATATATTCAAATGAATATATCCCAATAAAAATAACTTTAATCTTCTTCATCAATGTTCATTCAGAGGAACCCCAAGCTTTTCTCTGGTCACATGGGGCGCTATCTGATCAACTGAGATCTTCTTCTTTCCACATCTTCAATCCTGTAAACCTTAAATTCCACACTATACAGTTCCAACTTAACATTCCACATTCCTCAATCAACATTATCCATGAACTCTACAATGGAATAAGATGATATAGATGAAGATTTAATACTCTTAATACCTTCCTGTAGATCTCTAATATTTCCCATAGCTTTACTTAAATTCCCAATACCTTACTAATCCTGATGTCAAGCATGTACAACATGATTCTCCCCCTATAATCGCATACATTCCCCCTTATCTACTATAATAGCATCCAATGCTATGCGATTATCAATTGCATAGTTTCCAATGAGTGATATTTCAAACCCAATTGCTTGAAAACCCATGATAATTACACTCTTCTCATAATATGCATGAGTAGAGATACACAGTAAAACACTCAGTTTTCAGTCCCTGTTAAATGAGTACACCCCTGAACTATTTATGATCGAGAAATTCAACCACAATATCTATATAAGACAGTTATCTCAATTGTACAATCAATATCCTTCATGCTGAAAATAGTTAGTTACTAATATATACTAATGATTTACTTAAATCACTGTCATCTTATATTATAACCAAAACCATATTTAGAATGACAATTCTTATTGATTCACTTGGTCCTTATCAATCAAAATTAAAACCCTCAACTTTATCACCCATTTCAACTGTCAGAATGTACACTTATATTAACATACAGTATAAATATCCATAATTCTATTATGACCTTCCTCATCCTGATAATAAATACAGATCATCCTCTCAATGCATTATTAATACTATTAATTTAGCAGTGTATATACCTCCTATTCACATTAGCAAATTTAGATAAATTCAAATGTATTATCAACACAGCTAAGTAACCCCTTCTTTTTCCCGGCCCTTAGATCTTCTGGCGTCTCTTCATTATGTTCTTCAGACATCTTCATATTTCAAAATGAATTGCCCATGACAATATCCCAACTTCAATGTCTCATCCAAGTCACCACCTACCCTACAACCTCCTTGTCTTGCCCATTTGCCAACCATTATACCCACAACATTACAAATGTTGTATATGAACATATATTTCTCCATTCTCACTCAATGGTGGACTCCTTTCCCACTCTCTTGATATAAAAACATGATACAATCCGTTGATTGCTTCAATTGGCTGTTTTACCCCGGTTGCCTGTAGAAGTGGTGCTTTACAAAAACGTCTTCAACGCATCTGATGTTCATCTTCAGCCAGTACAGAGGTTGTTTCTTTTTTAGATTCACACCATTCTAGGCCAAATTATCCCTGCTATGCATCAAGACACCATCTGTATTTACCTCACTAGAAGACAAAACATAACAGTTCAATTGATTTCATTTCTAATCCAAGAAACCATATAAGCATTGACTATATGACAAATTATTATGTTATACCAATTATTCTTAATACCAATTTCTAATATACTTCCCAATTTCTGTTCACATTGCTCTGTGTAGTGTGTCCTTCTTTCAGCGTACCAATAGGGAAGGTGAGATAGACTGCTGCAAACACAACACAAACACAAAAACAATGCTCCACAGTGGCAATACCATCTTCCTCCTCTGAGTTAGAATACTCTTACAGTGGGACACATAGATGTATAAATCTGTTTCTACTACTTTCCCCTCCATCGAGGTAGTCAGCAACACCTAGTACTGACCTCTCCACCTAGATTCTGTTCCGCTCTTACTTATGTAATCCTTTACTGCCACATAGTCTCCATGGTGCATACAATGTCCAGATTCTCCTGTTAGGCTGGGCAGAGTTGCCTTCACCCTTTGAAACAAATCTTCAGAACATTGTTAGGTGAGGCACAGTATGCTACTTTATCCTGTCTTCATAACAGTCAGTAGAAACTTTGACATTAGAAAGTGCAAATTTTTTCAGCTTGCTATAGTCCACTAGTTTCATAGACATGCCTCCTCTACATCCTGCCTTATACCATAACTACACCTTTACCTAATAAATGTAATCTAACCCATAACCCATTGATTACTACTTCTCATATTCTTAAAACAATTTTGCAAATGTACCAATAAATCCTCTTCTACGTCAAGACTATAAGCTGGAGGCTGAATAGAGGTCGCTAATTGTGGATAAATGCCTTTAATACTTTCAGAACCTTTAATAGCCCCTTTGGATTGAGCCTTTTCAGAAGGTAAATTATGTTGCTCCATTGCCAAATTACGTAACTTCCTAACAGATCTTTCCTCCTTCCTCATTATATTTACCGGCCATTGTACACTCATTAAATCCCATGCGGTATACACCTCTTTCATGTACTCTAAATCCCATTTCGGGTTGCTTATGGCTGTATTATCAATTATATAATTACGTGCGACTTGTAATTTATCCCTTTTAAAACTACCATCAAGAGGATAGTTATTATCTGTCCATGCTGATAAATCACTAAGATATGGTTCCACATAGAAAACCCCAAATGTAATTAACATCCAGTCACGTGGTGTTAGATGTTCAATGCTCTTAAAATATATATGTTTTAGATGCGGATTTGTCTGCAACAATTTCATCATAACTTTTCGTTCCCTTCTAGGTAAATCTAGCTCTGATTTATGCTTTGTTACTGTTTTGCCCGTATTCGGTATACTGAATTGACTCCCCTTTGTCATGTATATTAGTTTATAGAATATTAGTAATTAAATGTTTGAATCAAATCTCCACCTCGATCTTTAGTAAAATAAATACACATTTTGTTTACCTATGTCTATCATTACTGCTTATGATTCAATATATTACATTTCACTGGCCCCCTCTCCTGGCCGTTTTGAGTAATTAACAAGGTACTAAGGCTCTCTACCGTTTATGACGATTTATTACGTCAAAGGTCCGTAACCTGTTCCTTTTATACCCAATGTCTTTTATAATGTACTTTTACATTAAGGGACTAAATTCCCACTCTCTTTATGATGTACCTGTACATCAAGGGTGCCTGCGCCCACTCATTTTATAATGTACTGTTTTACATTAAGGGAAAAAAATCCACTCTCTTTATGACGTACTTGACATCAAGGGTGTCCTGCGCCCACTCGTTTGTCCTCTCTTGCCTTCACTCAGTATTTTAAACACACCGTAATTTTGAATCATAAGCACCATGTCATTGTCCAATTTGATATTGTCCTTACATCCGTTCTACACATTTTACATTTACATTTTAGTCATTTAGCAGACGCTCTTATCCAGAGCGACTTACAGTTAGTGAGTGCATACATTATTAATTTTTAATTTTTCATACTGGCCCCCCGTGGGAATCGAACCCACAACCCTGGCGTTGCAAACGCCATGCTCTACCAACTGAGCTACATCCCTACACAACTCAACACCACTCATCATCCCCCTTTTAAAATATATAATTTTAAACGTTCGTTACAGCTCAGCCTTACCACAGATAAGCAGAATTTGACATAATCCAAAAAAATGAAAGTCTGCTTACCAGTTAGTTTGGCTGTGAACTGAATCCTGTTCGTTTATACGCCAATCTGTTATGATGAGTTTCTGGTATTGAGAAGTTCAGGATGCAAGAGAGCAGTTGACACAGATGGAGATTGGATTCAGTCATTATTTAATGGTTACAATGTTTGATTCAATGACAGCTGCACGTGCTTTGCCTCTTGCTATCTGAATGACTTCCATAGACATTCTCTCAGCTTATATACTGCCTTTCCTATCTACTTTTATCCCATACACAGTTGCTAACCATTATTGATTGCCACTCATCCACCACCATATCATCTACCTCCTTGGTGTAGTGTGGCACCCTAGCCAGGCCATTCCATCACGCACCCTTCCTAAGATTAGCAACAGTGGCCCCCCCAATCTATCTTGGCACACGGACCTTCTAGTACTCATTCGTGACCGACATAACACATGGCTTGTTCTCTGTCCACATACAGCTTATGATTTCTCCATACATTAATAAATCTTGTATCACAAATCATAACAGTATGTGAAAGTGTATCTATGTGTGAGTGTGTGTGTGGCGTCAATATACATGTGTGTGTCAGCGTATGTAGTCTAAGTGTGTGTTGTATGTGTGAGTGAGTGTGCATAGAGCCAGTGCCAGAGAGTCACTCCTGAAAAAAATCCTAGGATAAACTTAGCATAATGTCAGCATTGAGTTTAATTCTTTCTCCATTCCTCCAGACCTCCAGCAGCTCACTCTCTCTGTCTCTGAAGTGGAGGCTTCCCCTGAGCAGCAGCACTGTGAGCAGGAGTGGAGCCCCAGTTTGAGGCATGAGGGGTACCCAGAGCCCACACAGGTCAAAGACGAACATGGGGCCAGTCAGGAGGACGAGCAGCTTCAAGGGCTTGAGCATGATACCAAAGACTCCATATTCACTCCTGCCTGTGTGAAAAGTGTATGTAATGGGGAACCAACTCAGCGTTCACATTTTTATCAAGCCCAAAAGGAAGGAAATGGAGACAGAGACACCCTACCCAATACTACCACTGAACAGATCAAAACAGAACCTGATAGAGAGGACTACGGAGAATCAGAACCAACCAGTGTCTTTCAGCCCCTCTCTGCAGTAAATCCAGACTGTTCTGCAGCTCAGAGTGAAAACAGTGAAAGTGACAGTGGTATGGAGACTGGCGGACCTCCGTCATGTTTTAAGTCAGTCAAATCAAAGGGAACAAAGATGGTAAAAGGACAAAGCTCCCTTATCAACACTAAGGATAACAAATTCACACAGTTGTCCCATCTGAAATCACCCAGGCAAGGTCATGCTACTCCTGGTTGTTGTAAGGTGTGTGGCAAGTATTTTCATTACATGGGTTTATTATTTAAACATGTTCAAACTCATACAAATGATAAAGAAACACTTTGTGGAGTGTGTGGAAAGCATATGGCGTCAACAGAAAGTATGAAAGATCACCTCCAAACTCACATTGCAGCTAGGTATTGTTGTCATGTTTGTAGTAAATGGTTCACCTTAAACAGTAATCTGATAGTGCACATGAGAAGCCACACAGGGGAAAAAACGTGTCACTGCCCTGTTTGTGGCAAAGGATTCAGCACCAGCGGCGATCTGAAGAAACACATCCGGATTCACACAGGAGAGAAGCCATTTCGCTGCCCTGATTGTGGCAAAGCATTCAATCAGAGTGGAAATCTGAAATATCACAGAAAGTCCCACACAGGGGAGAAATAATATCATTGCAGTTGTTGTAACAGATGTTTCAGGATTGACACAAATCTTAAAAGTACACAAGGACTCACAGGGGAGAGACAAGTAAGATGCAATGATTGATGATATGCTCAAGTGGGCCGATTAGTATAAAGGATCCTTCATCCAGGGATTGTACTTTTTAATCAGTTTCCCACTCTACATTTACTAATGCATTTATTCAGTAAATTGGCCATGTTGCACTTGGCCATGTTGCACCCATGGTTGCGCCCCTGCCCAGTCATGTGAAATCCATAGATTTCACATTGACTGATTTCCTTATATGAACTGTAACTCAGCAAAATCTTTGAAATTGTTGCATGTTGCGTTTATATACACTACCGTTCAAAAGTTTGGGGTCACTTAGAAATGTCCTTGTTTTCGAAAGAAAAACTTTTTTTTTTTGTCCATTAAAATAACATCAAATTGATCAGAAATACAGTGAGGACATTGTTAATGTTGTAAATGGCTATTGTAGCTGGAAACGGCTGATTTTTACTGGAATATCTACATAGGCGTACAGAGGCCCATTATCAGCAACCATCAGTCCTGTGTTCCAATGACACGTTGTATTTGCTAATCCAAGTTTATCATTTTAAAAAGCTAATTGATCATTAGAAAACCCTTTTGCAATTATGTTAGCACAGCTGAAAACTGTTGTGCTGATTTAAAGAAGCAATAAAACTGGCCTTTTTGAGACTAGTTGAGTATCTGGAGCATCAACAATTGTGGGTTTGATTACAGGCTCAAAATGGCCAGAAACAAATAACTTTCTTCTGAAACTTGCGAGAAATTGCCAAGAAACTGAAGATCTCGTACAACGCTGTGTACTACTCCCTTCACAGAACAGCACAGACTGGCTCTAACCAGAATAGAAAGAGGAGTGGGAGGCCCCGGTGCACAACTGAGCAAGAGGACAAATACATTAGTGTCTAGTTTGAGAAACAGACGCCTCATAGGTCCTCAACTGGCAGCTTCATTAAATAGTACCCGCAAAACACCAGTCTCAACGTCAACAGTGAAGAGGCGACTCCGGGATACTGACCTTCTAGGCAGAGTTGCAAAGAAAAAGCCATATCTCAGACTGGCCAATAAAAATAAAAGATTAAGATGGGCAAAAGAACACCGACACTGGACAGAGGAAGATTGGAAAAAAGTGTTATTGACAGACGAATCGAAGTTTGAGGTGTTCGGATCACAAAGAATAATATTTGTGAGACGCAGACCAAATGACAAGATGCTGGAGGAGTGCTTGATGCCATCTGTCAAGCATGGTGGAGGCAATGTGATGGTCTGGGGGTGCTTTGGTGGTGGTAAAGTGGGAGATTTGCACAGGGTAAAAGGGATCTTGAAGAAGGAAGGCTATCACTCCATTTTGCAACGCCATGCCATACCCTGTGGACGGCGCTTGGTTGGAGACAATTTCCTCCTACAACAGGACAATGACCCAAAGCACAGCTCCAAACAATGCAAGAACTATTTAGGGAAGAAGCAGTCAGCTGGTATTCTGTCTAATGGAGTGGCCAGCACAGTCATCAATAGGGATCTCAACCCTATTGAGCTATTGTGGGAGCAGCTTGACCGTATGGTACGTAAGAAGTGTCCATCAAGCCAATCCAACTTGTGGGAGGTGCTTCAGGAAGCATGGGGTGAAATCTCTTCAGATTACGTCAACAAATTGACAACTAGAATGCCAAAGGTCTGCAAGGCTGTAATTGCTGCAAATGGAGGATTATTTGACGAAAGCAAAGTTTGAAGGGCACAATTATTATTTCAATTAAAAATCATAATTTCTAACCTTGTCAATGACTACATTTCCTATGCATTTTACTATATTTCCTATTCAAACTCATTTCATGTATGTTTTCATGGAAAACAAGGACATTTCTAAGTGACCCCAAACTTTTGAACGGTAGTGTATATTTTTTCAGTATATGTGCATATAGGTATAATACTTAAATGCTCATTTGTGTGACATGTAGTATTGAAATGTTTATTACATATGTCCCTTATATGTCATAATATATGTTACCTTATATGCTCATATACACTACCGGTCAAAAGTTTTAGAACACCTACTCATTCAAGGGTTTTTCTTTATTTTTACTATTTTCTACATTCTAGAATAATAGTGAGGACATCAAAACTATGAAATAACACATATGGAATAACACACAGTCCATCATTACAAGACATGAAGGTCAGTCAATACGGAAAACTTCAAGAACTTCGAAAGTTTCTTAAAGTGCAGTCGCAAAAACCATCAGGCGCTATGATGAAACTGGCTCTCATGAGGACCGCCACAGGAATGGAAGACCCAGAGTTACCTCTGCTGCAGAGGATAAGTGCATTAGTTACCAGCCTCAGAAATTGCAGCCCAAATAAATGCTTCACAGAGTTCAAGTAACAGACGCATCTCAACAACTGTTCAGAGTGGACTGTGTGAATCAGGCCTTCATGGTTGAATTGCTTTAGAAACCACTACTAAAGGACACCAATAAGAAGAAGAGACCTGCTTGGGCCAAGAAACATGAGCAATGGACATTAGACTGGTGGAAATTTGGTCTGGAGTCCAAATTGGAGATTTTTGGTTCCAACCGCCGTGTCTTTGTGAGACGCGGTGTGGGTGAACGGATGATCTCTGCATGTGTATTTCCCACCGTAAAGAATGGAGGAGGAGGTGTTATGGTGTGGGGGTGCATTGCTGGTGACACTGTCTGTGATTTATTTAGAATTCAAGGCACACTTAACCAGCGTGGCGACCACAGCATTCTGCAGCGATACGCCATCCCATCTGGTTTGGGACTATAATTTGTTTTTCAACAGGACAATGACCCAACACACCTCCAGGCTGTGTAAGGGCTATTTTACCAAGAAGGAGAGTGATGGAGTGCTGCATCAGATGACCTGGCCTCCACAATCCCCCGACCTCAACCAAATTGAGATGGTTTGGGATGAGTCGGACCGCAGAGTGAAGGAAAAGCAGCCAACAAGTGCTCAGCATATGTGAGAACTCCAAGACTGTTGGAAAAGCTTTCCACATGAAGCTGGTTGAGAGAATGCCAAGAGTGTGCAAAGCTGTCAAGGCAAAGGGTGGCTATTTGAAGAATCACATTTTTGGTTACTACATGATTCCATATGTACTATTATTCTACAATGTAGAAAATAGTAAAAATAAAGAAAAACCCTTGAATGAGTAGGTGTTCTAAAACTTTTGACCGGTAGTGCATATGTGACACAGTATTCAAATGTTTATTACATATGTCCCTTATCTGTTACAATACATGTTAACATATGTTACGGGAGCATTATTTCAGTGATACTTGTAGTCATGGTAATAAAACCTTAGAGTAAACGACAACACTAAACTCAATTAAATCCTATTATTTCTTTTTTATATCGCTTCTCAATTCAGCAATTTTACTGTTTTAAACCGTTCCCACTTGTCCCTTTGTTGCATCCAGGAAGCGCTTCATGACAGCATCTGTAGAGGGAAAGCAATACATAAGATTAAGACCATATAGAACAGTTAGGGGTTGGGTTTGGGGTCGTCAAAGGATCAAATTCTGTTTAATAAAAATATCCTTGACCATTAACGCCCTATTTGCAATAATTGATTTGTAAATTCAATTAAAGGATAGTTCACTTTTTTACACCTTATAGTCAGTCAGATGGTTCCTTTCCCTGAAAGTAGTCCATGGGCCAGGAGAAACTGTAATCCATAACTTAGTTGTTTAAATAGGCACTATTAACTTGAGGGGATTTGGCCACAGACATTAAACTTTGACTAATTTTCCTCCATCACCCCCATAGTTTTTTTGGTTAGTAATCTGACTATAAGGTGTAAAAAAGTGAACTATCCCTTTAACATCCTTCAATTTATTTAATTGAAATTGACCCCAACCCTGTTATGGTGTATAAATGTTTTATGGGATACTGTGAGATTGAGATTTAGGTAGTTTTTCTACTCACCCAGAGTCAGATAAACTCAAGAATAAAATGTGTATGTCTCTGCGTGCAGTTTGGAGATGATTGAAGTTAGCATATTGTTATCTTGGCAAAATTGCTGGAAGTCTCCCGGTATAGTAGCCTCCAGATCACAACGTTGTATGTCTCAATGGTGCTGCCCATGCACTCACAGATGCCATAATAAGACAGATTCTCTATATATACACAGAAGTATGTCGGCACCCCTTCAAATTAGTGGAGTCGGCTAGTTCAGCCACACCCATGGCTGACAGGTGTATAAAATTGAGCGCACCGCCGTGCAATCTCCATAGACAAACACTGGCAGTAGAATGGCCTTACTGAAGAGCTCAGTGACTTTCAACGTGGCACCGTCATAGGATGCCACCTTTCCAACAAGTCAGTTCGTCAAGTTTATGCCCTTCTAGAGCTGCCCCGGTCAACTATTAGTGCTGTTGAATTGAAGTGGAAATGTCTAGGAGCAACAACGGCTCAGCCGCGAAGTGGTAGGCCACACAAGCTCACAGAACGAGACCGCTGAGTGCTGAAGCGCGTAAAAATCGTCTGGTCATCAGTTGAAACACTCACTACCGAGTTCCAAACTGCCTCTGGAAGCAACGTCAGCACAAGAACTGTTCGTCGGGAGCTTCATGAAATGGGTTTTCATGGCCGAGCAGCCGCGCACAAGCCTAAGATCACCATGCACAATGCTAAGCGTCGGCTGGAGTGGTGTAAAGCTCGCCGCCATTGGACTCTGGAGTGATGAATCACGCTTCACCATCTGGCAGTTCGACGGACTAATCTGGGTTTGGCGGATGCCAGGAGAACGCTACCTGTCCCAATGCATAGTGCCAACTGTAAAGTTCAGGGGAGGAGGAATAATGGTCTGGGGCTGTTTTTCATGGTTCAGGCTCCTTAGTTCCAGTGAAGGGAAATCTTAACGCTACAGCATACAATGACTTGCTAGACGATTCTGTGCTTCCAACTTTGTGGCAACAGTTGGGGTTAAGCCCTTTCCGGTTCCAGCATGACAATGCCCCCGTGCACAAAGCGAGGTCCATACAGAAATGGTTTGTCGAGATTGGTGTGGAAGAACTTGACTGGCCTGCACAGAGCCCTGACCTCAACCTCATCAAACACCTTTGGGATTAATTGGAATGCCGACTGCGAGCCAGGCCTTATCGCCCAACATCAGTGCCCATGATTTTAGAATGAGATGTTCGACGAGTAGGTGTCCACATACTTTTGGACATGTAGTGTATCTTCGTAAACACCTGTTATCCTTATGTGCATTCTGAGTTGGAGACCCCCAAAAAAGTGAACCAAAGTGATTGGATCTTCGAACTTGTAGACAAAATTCTATTGAGTCTGAGAAAGCTACACCCTCACCCCCAAGGCCAAGCCCCTCCTAGCCATGATCTCGACAAAACAGAGTTTCTCTTCCTCCCGTGGAAGGCATGCCCGCTCCATGACCTCTCCATCACGGTTGACAACACTGCCCTCCAGACGTTTTTTGGGACAGTAACGCTTGAGCCTGGGTGAATTTCGATCTGCAAAACATAAATAATTCACTCAGATGCTATAAAAGACTAGAATGTACTGTAAGTACAGTAACAATACATCCTGTGTATTTAGAAGATTTAAAAGTTAACGATCATGTACTGTTTCAATAAAAAGGAACACATAAAGAAGCCTGTTTTAACCTTTAAATAGGTAAATGAGCCATAAACCAGCTAATGGTAAGCAAGTATCATCTACAGTAGATACAAGAAACAAAGTAGTCATAAGGTTGCCTAACACTAAATGCAATTAGAAAATAATTCACCCCTAAGTGTGAGATGGATGCATTGTCAGGAAGCAGGTGCAGACGATGTGTTTAATAATAACGAACATGGCGCATTACAAAACAAGAAAAGTGTCTGGACATGAAAACAGAACCAATACTGACTGAGGTTTGTGAGAGCTATACGAAGGGAGAGTAATCAGGGTGGTGATGAAGTCCAGGTGTGCTTAACGATGGGGAGCAGGTGTGCGCAATGATGGTTGCCAGGTGTGCGCAATGTGGGTTGCCAGGACCAGTGGTTAGTAGACCGGCGACGTCGAGCGCCGAAGGGAGGGAGCAGGTGTAGGTGTGACAATATCCATATTATAATTTTTTTGTATTGGGTTGTGAGATTTATATACAGTATGTTATTGAAATATTTGATCATATATTTTAAAATCTATGTTACGTTTATATATGGGTTTTAAATATATTATCATATATTTTAAAATATACACGACTTCTCCGTCGGCCAGAGCAGGGCACTAGGCTTACACCCGGGAGGCAGCCCCCTTCCAAAACGAATGCAATCACTTTTCACCCGGTTCAAACTTCTCCCACCGGGGTAACCCGGACCAGATATATGAAGCCCTCATTGCCGTCCTAATGACGGATGTTTCAGGAATGACACAAATCTAAAAAGTACACAAGGACTCACAGGGGAGAGACAATTTAGATGCAATGATAGATGATATGCTCAAGTGGGCCGATTCATATAAATGAACCTTCTGAAACATGTTTTTTTCTTCATCCAGGGATAGTATGTTTTATCCACAACAGAATACATGTTGATACACTTTATCATTGAAGTGTCTTTACCTGTTCTCTTCTTTCTCTTTTGACAATGTTCAATTATCAGTATTTTATCTTCTGATGTTAGAAAGCTTATATACAAAACGGTCCTCTGATGCGGTAGATAAAAGTGCAATATTAAATAGTATAGTCAGATTTTTATATGATGAATGCCGTTGTGTACCACACCCAGGACTATTCGCGAGATCCTAGTCCTGTGTGGCTCAGTTGGTAGACCATGGCGCTTGAAACACCAATGGTTGTGGGTTCGATTCCCGCTTGGACCACTCATATGAAACATATATGCACGTATGATTGTAAGTCACCTTGGATAAAAGCATATGATATGGCATATATTTTTGTATGAGTAACCAACTACAAGCAGACCACCTGAGAGAATTTACATTGCAAGGCATCTCCGAAATCTCTGATGTAAGCAATGTTCCATTTTGTGTTCTGGGCGCCTGGCATACAAGCTTCATCATTGCCAATCCACAGATGATATGATTTATATTATATTATTATTATATTATTATATACCCCAGTGGCAGTAGCTCATTATGACTGTTATAGCCTGCCCCGCTGGTGTGTAGTCTCTGTCTGGGGCGAAAGCTTGCTTCAGGCTGTGCTGCGCTGGCAGGTCCCAATGCGCAGCCTTCCCGGCTCCATGGGTCATTGTTACTGCTGAAACTCTTTCCCTCCCTCACCCTCAGAGCTGGACTCCAAACCCTGCATAAACACTTCAGTTTGTAAGGATTCTATCCAAACCTGTGAGCCAGTACCCTACCTGGGCCAAGATGTGGATAATGAAAATGTGGCATTGTGGTTGACAGACATGCTGACAATAGGTGGGAAACAAGTGGAACAAAAGAGAGTGAGGGAGAAACATATCTTAGTCTCCTAATCTAGTTCTTAAGAATCTAGGCTGCTAGCTACAAATATGGTAATCCTCTCTCATATGTCTGCCCCTGAAAACAGATATTGTGGAGAGTGGGACCAATGGGTTGTGGCATTCCCTGTCTGTCTGGATTTACTGATGACGTGTTGATCTTCTAACGGTACAATGGTAAAATAAATAACGTTTACTGAATTGAGCTGAGTCTAATAGAGTCAATAATATAGGCTACACCGCTACAGGCTATAATGTGAATAGCAGCAACCAGATGGGCACGTCGTTTGGCACCCACCTGGCAAGCGTAATGAAGCCTATTTGGTAGGTGCCGCTACTCACGTTTTCTTCGCAACTGCTAATAAAGACAGGCCTACATTACTGCTAGTGGTAGGGTACATAAATGAACAGTTTGCAGAGATCAGACATGCGAGCCTCGCAATTAGAACTGCGAAAACAATGTGGGCTTGACGCACAGAGAGATTCCGCGCAAGCTCGTCCTCCGGTAGCCTACGTAGTCGTGACACACCTGGGGCACACATAGCTGGCGCAAGCAGTCCGAGATCATTTCTGTCAATCGACCAAGTTCAAGAAACATCGCAGATGTGTCCGAAACTGTTCACGATCCTCTATTCAACTTGAATTTAACATGATTTGATTACATATTACACGCGCAATGACTGTTCCATGGAGTTTGCTAACGATTCTGAGTTTGGTGTACCACACGGAATCGAGGTGTTCGCCGACTACTTATTATAAAAACTGTTGGATTCGTCAATACCCTGGTATATTCATCGATATTGAGGAATCTCAGAGAAGAGGCGCTCAGCTTCTGAAGTATTACCAAGAAGAGACAGCTCTGAAATGCAGCCGAACCTGTTGCCTTACGAGAAATTGTAAGTTTACTGTAATTGTTCAGTTTTGTATCGGATTTTTAATATGGATTAGATGTGCAGCGATATAATCAGTTTAACCCTACTAGAATCCAATGTACTATTATTTAAATGTCGACATTTTAAAATGATTCTCAAACGTTTAATTCATGATTTACTGTAGGCAATTTTGTACAATACTTTTATTTGCAGGTACCCTGCCAGGTGGACAGGTGTAGCATGTAATGTGTGAGTGCGCTATGCAAAAGTTTATTAATATGTTTTGCAGGGTGCGTTGATGGATAATTAACCTTTTATGTAACTCCTTAGTTTCTTGTAACCTGGCGATATTCCACTATGACACCATCCAAGAGAATGTGAACTGTTTTCATATGCACTGTCCAACATTGGAGAGCTGTATCCTAAGCTACAGAGGCAACGTGATCCTGTACAACATCACCAAAGGTGAGCCTCCATAGGATACAATTTAGACCCAGGATCTAAGTTGTACTTTAGTGCTGTTTGTTTCTATGAATTCTAAAAGAAGCCAAACATAGATTATTATTACTCGTTATTACCACTAAATAAAAGAAAAAACTAAACTTTACCATGAACTTACTGCAGACCCTTTATAAACTGTTATAGCTTATATTGAGTGATTGAGATGGTATAGGCTTCAGTGAAATGATTAAATACTTGCTACTCTGACAACGTTTTACTGTGGGGTTGGTTGTCTTGGTCTCACACAGGTGTGGATCCAGACCTGTTGGTGTTTGGAAAGTACTTCACCTCCAATGTGCGGGTGTTACCCCACCTCTACACCAGAGTCAATGCCTCAGAGCCCCTAGCCTCAGACAAGCGCCAGTTCAACCGGCCACCCGTCCAGCCTCTAACCATAGCCCCTACTGCCAGGATCCCCACCACCACCACTGCACCCCAGAGCTCTACTCAGGGCAATACTTATTCCCCCATCACATCCACCCCCTCCTCCACCATAATGCCCACCCTGGGGACCCAGGCCCACACCACCACTCCCCCGACCCCCACCACCACCACCACCACTCCCCCGGCCTCCACCACCACTCCCCCGACCCCCACCACGACTGCCCCTGCCCCATACACCGCCCAGACCATCCCTGCCTATCCATCAACCCACAGAGAATCCACCACCACCCCACAGCCCCCCACACCTACCAAGCAGCCCACATCCACAGCCAGGGTGGCCACCATCACCAGTCCCACCAGCCCCCCGACCTTCCTGGCTCCTGCAGCCAACATGGATGGCAGTAACAAGCAGGACCCCAACGACACCAAGGGCTACGTGGGCAGGAACCACACAGCGGCCGCAGGGGGAGAAGGTGGACAGGGTAGTCAGGGCGAGGTGGAGTCCCCCTCACCCGGTGATTTGGGTCCAGGGTGGCACGTGGCGGCCCACACCCTGTTGGTTGCCGCGGTGACGGTCGTCACAGTGCTGCTGAGCTGCTGCTGCTCCGTGCTGCTGGTGGTGAGCTGGAGGGGTCGGAGGAAGAGGAAGGGGCGGTACAGGACCACCTGGAGGGGGAAGGGGGGGTCCATGCGCCTCATTAAGTATGCCATTGTCAGGGAGAGCTCGTGAGGTAACCATGGGGTTCAACAACAGGGACTAAGAAAGCTTTTACAAGGAACTGCACATTGAAAAGTAAAGTAATGCTATTCCACTAGAGAACTAATGTTTACATCAGAAACAATCATGAATTAAGCAAAGGGAACCACTGCCACTGACCTGCGAATGTTGTTTCCCCCCCTCCAAACAAAATCTTTATCTGTGTATGTATAGTCTGGAAAAACCACTGAACCTGAAAAGCAGAGATTGGGACCATCACTGGTGTAAATAGTAAAAAATGCAGCTGTTTTTTTTCTTCCATTCTGACATGTTCAGTATCATCTTACTTATGTATAGCTATATTTTAGTGGTTTTGGACAGATGAGCTGCATAGAGCCATTTTATATTCTGTAGACCTAGTACAGATAATTAATTGAAGTACATGGCAAAACTGTAAGACCAAAGTTGCTGTGAGGATTGTGGTTACCATTGAGGTAATGGCTTGAGACTTACAGTAACTGTTGATGCATTTGTAGGTAATTTTCCTAAAGAAAGATACTGTACGTCCTTTTGGCAGACTTACATTTTGAAGCGGTCAAACGAAATCAAACAGCTGTTGATGCCAAACTCCATGGACTGTGCAGTGTCTGCTCTGCTTTAAGTGCATTGATGGGGGCTTCCAAGCAAGAAAAGCTGTGCAACAAGCCAAGTTTTGTTCTGAGGCAGTAAGCTGCTAAATGGACTGTGGTGTATGCGAGTCGAGGTGTAACTTAGGCTTGGACCCATCTTGCCACCACTCCTCTCTCCTCCAGAACATCTCTCCTGCGCATCGAGTTTCACCTGACCCAGAACCACATGGACCAGAGCAGGAACTCTTTTGAAGGGTTTGGTGTTTTATTTTTATATGGGCCCATCACTGAACGTGTCTTCAGTAAGGTGCTACTCTTCGTCCCCCTGGGCCAAAGAGGGGAGGAGATGGGGGTGGGTAATACAGTAAACATTTGTGTCCACTGTCCAGTGATGTAAAAAGCACTTATTTAAATAACAGTAAGAACTTAGCCCAAATTTCAGAACTTTTTATTTACAATGCAAGGGATAAATTTTTGCTTCAGGCTATCAGTTTAGCGTAACTAGTATTGGACAACTGTATTACAGAAATATAACAGAGGTCCATTTATTTATTGTCAATAAATATTTCACAAAAGACAGTTACAGGCATCACATGCTGTGTGTGGTGAAATCAGATGATAGGTTTGTCTCTAGACATTGAACTGGTCACCACAAGGGTGTAGCAGTTGAGTTCTGGTCTTTGCTTTGTATTGATGACTACACTGTCCCATGATTGGACCTGAAGTGATAACTGCTCTTGCTCACTCTCCTATGTGTGTGTGTGTATCTGCATCTATAGAAGAGGAGGGCATATTAGAGGTTGAGCAGTTTCTGCACAGCTTCTCTGTACTGGCGCATGCTGCTCTCGCTCTCTCCCTCGTTCTTCAGTCTGGTCACAGAGTCCCTGTACTCCTGCACCTCCGGCCTCCCCAGCAGCTCCTCCCTCACCGCCTCTCCCTCTCCCTCCTCTGCTACCCGCATGCGGACCAACGTGGACAAGGCGTTCTTCTGAGAGGGGCTGTCCTCCCAGCTGTACTCCTCCATGTCTGCCACAGTCTTGTCTGACTCCCATGCCTCAATTTTCTAGAAAGAGTAAGTGGAACAGCACAACATTGTTAGCTACAGTGAAAGTATTCAGACCACTTGACATTTTTTTACATTAGTATTTTTTCCCTCATCAATCTACACACAGCACAGCTGGCCCATGGATGTACACAGAGAGCTAACATTAATGATATGCATGTCAATCTCTCCTGGCTCAAAGTGGAGGAGAGATTGACTTCATCACTACTTGTATTTGAAATTGGTATTGAAATGTTGAATGCACCCATGCATACCCCACAAGACATGCCACCAGAGGTCGCTTCACAGTCCCCAAGCCCAGAACAGACTATGGGAGGCGCACAGTACTACATAGAGCCATGACTACATGGAATTCTATTCCATATAAAGTTTTTTTTATTTTCTATTTCACCTTTATTTAACCAGGTAAGCCAGTTGAGAACAAGTTCTCATTTACAACTGCGACCTGGCCAAGATAAAGCGAAGCAGTGCGATAAAAACAACAACAGAGTTCCATATGGGGTAAAACAAAACAAAGTCAAAAATACAACAGAAAATACAGTGTGCGCAAATGTAGCAAGTTATGGAGGTAAGGCAATAAATAGGCTATAGTGCAAAATAATTACAATTAGAATTAACACTGGAATGATAGATGTGCAAGAGATTATGTGCAAATAGAGATACTGGGGTGCAAATGAGCAAAATAAATAACAATATAGGGATGAGGTAGTTGGGTGGGCTAATTTCAGATGGGCTGTGTACAGGTGCAGTGATCGTTAAGGTGCTCTGACAACTGACGCCTAAAGTTAGTGAGGGAGATAAGAGTCCAGCTTCAGAGATTTTTGCAATTCGTTCCAGTCATTGGCATCAGAGAACTGGAAGGAATGGCGGCCAAAGGAGGTGTTGGCTTTGGGGATGACCAGTGAGATATACCTGCTGGAGCGCATACTACGGGTGGGTGTTGCTATGGTGACCAATGAGCTAAGATAAGGCAGGGATTTCCTTGCAGTGATTTATAGATGGCCTGGAGCCAGTGGGTTTGACGACGAACATGTAGTGAGGACAAGCCAACAAGAGCGTACAGGTCACAGTGGTGGGTAGTGTATGGGGCTTTGGAGACAAAACGGATGGCACTGTGATAGACTACATCCAATTTGCTGAGTAGAGTGTTGGAGGCTATTTTGTAAATGACATCGCCGAAGTCAAGGATCGGTAGGATAGTCAGTTTTACGAGGGCATGTTTGGCAGCATGAGTGAAGGAGGCTTTGTTGCGAAATAAGTAACTCATTTGCATAAGTATTCAGACCCTTTACTCTGTACTTTGTTGAAGCACCTTTGGCAGTGATTACAGCCTCGATTCTTTTTGGGTATGACGCTACAAGCTGGGCACACCTGTATTTGGGGAGTTTCTCCCATTCTTCTCTGCAGATTGGATGGGGAGCGTCGGTGCACAGCTATTTTCAGGTCTCTCCAGAGATGTTAGATCGGGTTCAAGTCCGGGCTCTGGCTGGGTCACTCAAGGACATTCAGAGACTTGTCCTGAAGCCACTCCTGCGTTGTCTTGGCTGTGTGCTTAGTGTCGTTGTCCTGTTGGAAGGTGAACCTTCGCCCCAGTCTGAGTTCCTGAGTGCTCTGGAGCAGGTTTTCATCAAGGATCTCTCTGTACTTTGCTCCGTTCATCTTTCCCTCATTCCTGACTAGTCTCCCAGTCCCTGCCGCTGAAAAACATCCCCACAGCATGATGCTGCCACCACCATGCTTCACCGTAGGGATGGTGCCAGGATTCCTCCAGACGTGACGCTTGGCATTCAGGCCAAAGAGTTCAATCTTGGTTTCACAGACCAGAGAATCTTGTTTCTCATGGTCAGAGTCCTTTAGGTGCCTTTTGGCAAACTCCAAGCGGGCTGTCATGTGCCTTTTACTGACGAGTGGCTTCCATCTGGCCACTCTACCATAAAGGCCTGATTGGTGGAGTGCTGCAGAGATGGTTGTCCTTCTGGAAGGTTCTCCCATCTTCACAGAGGAACTCTTGGTCACCTCCCTGACCAAGGCCCTTCTCCCCCGATTGCTCAATTTGGCCAGGTGGCCAGCTGTAGGAAGAGTCTTGGTGGTTCCAAACCTCTTCCATTTAAGAATGATGGAGGCCACTGTGTTCTTGGGTACCTTCAATGCTGCAGAAATGTTTTGGTACCCTTCACCAGATCTGTGCCTCAACACAATCCTGTTTCGGAGCTCAACGGACAATTCCTTCGACCTCATGGCTTGGTCTTTGCTCTGATATGCACTGTCAACTGTGGGACCTTTTATAGACAGGTGTGTGCCTTTCCAAATCATGTCCAAATCAGTTGAATTTACCACAGGTGGACTCCAATCAATTTGTAGAAACATCAAGGATGATCAATGGAAACAGGATGCACCTGAGCTCAATTTCAAGTCTCATAGCAAAGGGTCTGAATACTTATGTACAGTTGAAGTCGGAAGTTTACATACACCTTAGCCAAATACATTTAAACTCAATTTTTCACAATTCCTGACATTTAATCCTAGTAAAAATTCCCTGTCTTAGGTCAGTAAGGATCACCACTTTATTTTAAGAATGTGAAATGTCAGAATAATAGTAGTTATTTATTTCAGCTTTTATTTCTTTAATCACATTCCCAGTGGGTCAGAAGTGTACATACACTCAATTAGCATTTGGTAGCATTGCCTTTAAATTGTTTAACTTGGGTCAAACGTTACGGGTAGCCTTCCACAAGCTTCCCACAATAAGTTGGGTGAATTCTGGCCCATTCCTCCTGACAGAGCTGGTGTAACTTAGTCAGGTTTGTAGGCCTCCTTGCTCGCACACACCTTTTCTTCCCACAAATTGTCTATAGGATTGAGGTCAGGGCTTTGTGATGGCCACTCCAATACCTTGACTTCGTTGTCCTTAAGCCATTTTGCCACAACTTTGGAAGTACGCTTGGGGTCATTGTCCATTTGGAAGACCCATTTGCGACCAAGCTTTAACTTCCTGACTGATGTCTTGAGATGTTGCTTCAATATATCCACATCATTTTCCTTCCTCATGATGCTATCTATTTTGTGAAGTGCACCAGTCCCTCCTGCAGCAAAGCACCCCCACAGCATGATCAAATCAAATCAAATTGTATTGGCTACATGCGCCGAATACAACAGGTGCAGACATTACAGTGAAATGCTTACTTACAGCCCATAACCAACAGTGCATTTATTTTTAATAAAAAAGTAGAATAAAACAACAAAAAAGTGTTGAGAAAAAAAGAGCAGAAGTAAAATAAAATAACAGTAGGGAGGCTATATATACAGGGGGGTACCGGTGCAGTCAATTTGCAGGGGCACCGGCTAGTTGAGGTAGTTGAAGTAATATGTACATGTGGGTAGAGTTAAAGTGACTGCATAAATAATTAACAGAGTAGCAGCAGCGTAAAAAGATGGGGTTGGGGGGCAGTGCAAATAGTCCGGGTAGCCATGATTAGCTGTTCAGGAGTCTTATGGCTTGGGGGTAGAAGCTGTTGAGAAGTCTTTTGGACCTAGACTTGGCACTCCGGTACCGCTTGCCGTGCGGTAGCAGAGAGAACAGTCTATGACTAGGGTGGCTGGAGTCTTTGACAATTTTGAGGGCCTTCCTCTGACACCGCCTGGTATAGAGGTCCTGGATGGCAGGAAGCTTGGCCCCAGTGATGTACTGGGCCGTACGCACTACCCTCTGTAGTGCCTTGCGGTCGGAGGCCAAGCAGTTGCCATACCAGGCGGTGATGCAACCAGTCAGGATGCTCTCGATGGTGCAGCTGTAGAATCTTTTGAGGATCTGAGGACCCATGCCAAATATTTTCAGTCTCCTGAGGGGGAATAGGCTTTGTCATGCCCTCTTCACGACTGTCTTGGTGTGTTTGGACCATGATAGTTTGTTGGTGATGTGGACACCAAGGAACTTGAAGCTCTCCAAGGAACTTGAAGCTCCCACCCCCGTGCTTCACGGTTGGGATGGTGTTCTTCGCTTGCAAGCGACCCCCTTTTTCCTCCAAACATAACAATGGTCATTGTGGGTTTGGGGACAGAGCAGTGTGTGGAACCCCTTGAGTGCCTTGGTCGCCCCCTCATCCCTCTGTGGTGTTCTCCTCTCCTGTCCTCTCACAGAGATAGTGTTTCTCCAGACGTGGTGCTGAGTCCCTCCACCACAGCCGGTCTCCCTCCCATCACATTCCCCAGAGGACAATAGGCCCATTGTGTGGGAGCTTAAAGCAGGGGCCGCCACAGGCTCTCCTGCAGCCCAGGTGTTTGGGGTTAATGGACCTCACTACGTCTATATGGTCCCCAATATCAAGGCTGGCTGGAGGCCAACCCCTCCAGCGGACAGGGAGGTGGGGTGGGGTGGGGATGGCTGGGGAAGAGATAATCTCTCCTGTCCTCAGCCTGACTGTCAGGATTATTACACCACTACAGTATCTTCACTGGGCCAAATAGGGTCCGCTAAGGTAATGCAGTTCCTTTAAAATCACACTGATTCTGTACTCTAGTATTATTCAGAATCTAGCCATCTGATTGTAAATTCAAATCAAACTACACTGAGTATACTAAACGCTTTCCATGACAGACTGACCAGGTGAATCAAGGTGAAAGGTATGATCCCTTATTGATGTCACTTTTTAAATCCACTTCAAATCAGTGTAGATGAAGGGGAGGAGACAGGTTTACATTTACATTTTAGTCATTTAGCAGACGCTCTTATCCAGAGCGACTTACAGTTAGTGAGTGCATACATTATTTTTTGTATTTTTCATACTGGCCCCCCGTGGGAATCAAACCCACAACCCTGGCGTTGCAAACGCCATGCTCTACCAACTGAGCTACATCCCTGCCGGCCATTCCCTCCCCTACCCTGGACGACGCTAGGCCAATTGTGCGCCGCCCCATGGGTCTCCCGGTCGCGGCCGGCTACGACAGAGCCTGGATTCGAACCAGGATCTCTAGTGGCACAGCTAACACTGCGATGCCGTGCCTTAGACCACTGCGCCACTCGGGAATTCAAGAAGGATTTTTAAGCCTTGAGACATGGATTGTGTATGTGTGCCATTCAGAGGGTGAATGGGCAAGAGAAAAGATTTAAGTGCCTTTGAACGGGTTATGATAGTAGGTGCCAGGCGCACTGGTTTGTGTCAAGAACTGCAACGCCGCTCTGTTTTTCCCGCTAAACAGTTTCCCGTGTGTATCAAGAATGGTCCACCACCCAAAGGACATCCAGCCAACTTGACAACTGTGGGAAGCATTGGCGTCAACATGGGCCAGCATACCTGTGGAACACTTTCAACACTAAGAGTCCATGGACATGGCCATCATACTTTCAATAGTGTTTTCTCTATTTGATCCATACCTGGATATAATGGTGCAAATACACCAGAAAAAAAGAATGCATATTTTTCATAAAATTTTTATCCAATTAAGGCAAATGGCCACTAACTAAATTAAATGGGGGGGTGCAACTCAATATTAGGAAGGTGTTCCTAATATTTGGTATACTCAGTGTATATAGCTATAACAGGTCAGGTGGTTGACCATTGGTCTGACAGACAGACTCCATATCTCCCATTGCTTTTGTCTCCACCGGGTGTGGCCCAGTGAATGAAAAGAGGGTGATGTTGACAGACCAACAGCCACCTGTTTTCAAAGTTACAGAGGAGGACATTTGTGGTTATTACTGGAATGGGGCACTGAGAGTACTGGAGCGCTCAGATAAGGAATAGACATATTAGATAGTCACTTGGGGATTGAAGTGCCTCTAGCGCCCAGCGGGCGAGATGGTAAAGTACGGTACAGTACTGTAGACTTCCTGCTATGGTGAGGTGGATGACTGTGGTCCGTCCCAGTAGAGCACTGGCCTGGATCAACAGCCCACAGCGGAATTAGCAACAGGTCCAGAAAGTCGAGAGTCCTTCTCACTGAGTGAAGAGATAGAATCACCTCAGCGGCAGCTAACAATTGGCCTCTTTGTGGGCTAGCGTTACTACCGGTGTATGGGTTCCCCCTCCCAGCTTCCACCAACCTGCGGGCTGCACTGTGCCTTCCATTGTGCGTGTAAAGGGCAGCGGACAGTGTTCCGCTTCCCGGCTCTGACGCCATTTCTTAGAGAGACAGAAAGCCAAGGCTTTTTACCAGCTAAACCCTGCTGCCTTGGCGAGAGACCTCCCAAAGGCACAACAGGGAGAGCCATTAATTCCCTTATGGCTGTACTCTCATGTGAAAGCAGCCTGTGCTGGTGACCCTGGTGGTGGATTTCTCAGGTGTGTGGTGTTGGTTGGATTTGGCGTACTGTGAATAAGTGGCGGGGTCAGCATCTTATTCTGGTGTCTGTTTTCTCCTGTTTAGAGGGGAAATGCCAGTGGGACAATGCCGCTGTATGCCATCCTTCTGCCTATTCACCACTCATAGCTCCCTAACAGGCTTTCTCTTTCACACCAAGGGTAGAGAAAGGTATCAAGTCCATTGGTGCTAGCTACTGTAGATTGGCATGGTCTTGGTAGTTGTCAATGAAAACAGACAGAGAGAGGAAGAGCATTGGTCATGGAAAAGCCACACGAGTGTCTCAGCAGGACTCAGAGGACACGGGGGCAGTGGTGTAAAGTACTTAAGTCAAAATACTTTAAAGTACTACTTAAGTAGTTTTTTGGGGTATCTGTAATTTACCATTTATATTTTGGACTACTTTTACTTCACTACATTCCTAAAGAAAATGTACTTTCTACTCCATACATTTTACCTGACACCCAAAAGTACTCGCTACATTTTGAATGCTTAGCAGGACAGGACTTAAAGAGAACACATGGTCATCCCTGCTGCCTCTGATCTGGCAGACTCACTGCTTTGCTTAATATAAGGAATTTGAAATGATTTATACTTTTACTTTTGATACCTAAGTATATTTGAGCAATTACATTTACTTTTGATACTTAAGTATATTTAGAACCGAATACTTTTAGACTTTTACTCAAGTCGTTTTTTTACTGGGTGACTTTCACTTTTACTTTCTATTAAGGTATCTATACTTTTACTCAAGTATGACAATTGGGTACTTTTTCCACCACTGCACGCGGGTTGGCGGGGAGGGGCAGTACTTGTGAATAGTGAACTCCTGAAATATTCATGACTTGGTTGAAAGGCAACAGAAAAGCCTGTAGTGCTCTTTCTACTTAAAAGCCCTTATGTATATGCAAGCCCTTTACCTCTAAGGACGGCTTAAGGTATCAGGTATCTCTTTCCTAGTCCATCATGGGTCTCTGATGCTCTGGATATTGAAGGACTTGGCTGCCTGACCATCTGTCTACTCATTGTCCACCTATTGGCTGGGTGGTGAGGTTAGGTGGAAGATCATGTCTACTCAAGCTCTTTGGCACTGACCAGGGTCACGTTTAGGAAGATGCAACGTACTGAACGTAGCAGATAGACATGTCATGAATAGAGCTGAGGATCAATTGTACATCTGAACGCGGCCCTGGACTAGCAAGACACTTACCCAAGACTCGTGATAGAGGACAGTCAGGAGGTACATGGCATAGTCATAATTCTGCTGTCTCACAGGGCAGCTGGCAGGGCAAAGTTGAAAAAAAAACACAAAATAAACATTGATCAGAAAGTACCGGGCGAGTTGAAATAAAACCTCTCCATCAAAAGACATCACTGTAAAGCAATGACAATAGTGAAGGACCAATAACTTATTTACTTAGCCTCTTTTAATGAAGAGGAATTAGTAGATATTTGTAATAGTACATTGAACAACAGGGGGTGCTGCTTACCTGTCAGTGGTGATGGCGAGTGTGTCCGTGTCCTTGCAGTACCTCTCTCCTCCTACCAGTTTAACCATCTTCTTCCTGGCATGGTCATCCAAATTCAGACTGGAGAGCTTCAGCTGAGTGGACAGAAACACAATCTGACATTATAATACTGAAGCTTATTTGATTTGCCTAAGTTGCTTCAAATGAAACCCTTAATGCCCTTTTAACATACAAAAACAATAGATGCAACCATCCATCCCTACTTATGACTCATGACATCTGAAATAATAAGCACCATGCCACACTAAATGTTGAAACTCTGCAGCGGTAAGTCACTTAATCTTAAAATATACTTAAAATGATTCCAAGAACTGCAGCTGTCACAGCTGGAAGGGGAAATAATGTTTTGTGCAGCATGAATCATATCTGCTTGTCATTCAGTAAACTGAGTTTAAACACAGGCTTAACACCTAACAAACATTTTGTACTTAAAAAAAAAACACTTAACATAGGCCAGGCCTGTTGTTACCTCATATCCCAGCCATAATGTCTTGCATTACGCCTGGGAAAAAACACTTCAATTTAAACATTTTGAATATATTAGCCCACACAGCTACAAGAATGCACTTTCATGCTAGGTTTAGGACCTCGTTTTGAAGCTTATAAACTTTGACCAAGCTAGCTGCCAACAAATGCTTATTGTAGCCATCAATGAGCTTGCTGCACCTTTCTACTGGCAATTTGACTCATTCTTCAGCAGCAAACGGTTCTATATCTTCAATGTTTTAGGGGTGCCCTCCACCTTCTGCTGTTTTCAGCTCACGCCATAGGTTATGGATGTGATTCAGATCTGGACTCCTCACTGGCCACTAACAGTCCAGCGTTTCTTCTTGAACCATTCCTGGGTGCTTTTTATGTGTGTGTTTTTTGTCCTACTGGAAAACCCACAACCTTCAACAGATACAACGTTTTTGGACACTGGGTTGAACATTGCACTCTAAAACACCTTGATAATCTGCTGATTTCATGATGTCTTGCACACAGTACTAGAGGTAGCAAAGCAATCCCACAGCATTATCGACTCTCCCCCATAATTGATTGTAGGGAGGGTGTTCTTTTCTTTGAACGCTTCATTTGGTCGTTGGTAAACATAAGAAGACCCCACTGCTGAAGGAGACAAGAAAGCCTGATTGATCTTCTCAAAAGCCCACCTAAACAAGCCTAAATCCTGAGGAAAATGTTCTGTGGACCAATTAAACAAAATTAGAGCTCTTTGTCAATGCATATCAGCGCTGTGTTTACTGACGACCAAATTAAGGCTTGAATAAAAAATAACACCCTCCAATCAAAGATGGCGGATGTTCGATAATGCTGTGGGGTTGCTTTGCTGCCTCTGGTACTGGGGGCCTTGGAAGTGTGCAAGGCATCTTGAAATCAGCAGATGATCACGTGATTTGTATTCCAATGTTCAACACAGTGTCCAAAAACTGGGTCTCCATTGAAGGTTATGGGTCTTCCAGCAGGACAACGACCCCAATCACATCAAAGTGCACCTAGGAATGGTTAAGAAGAGATGCTGGACTGTTCTGGAGTGGCCAGCGAAGAGTCCAGATCTGAATCACATCCAAAACCAATGGCGAGATCTTAAAACAGCAGTTGGTGGAGGGCACCCCTCAAATATGGAAGAATTAGAGCAGTTTGCTGCTAAAAAGTGGGCCAAATTGTCAGTAGAAGGGTGCAGCAAGCTCATTGATGGCTACAAGAAGCGTTTGTCTGCAGTTATCTTATTAGTTTTACTACATTTCTACTTATTTGAGAAGAAATACGGAATTATTTAATTGTTTCTTCCTTCAGACTCCATGGAATTAACTCTTCATAAATATTTGGTCAAATTATTAATTTTGTGTATGGTTTCCTAGAAACAAGGGTGCCGCAATTTACCCTTTGGCTCAACTTACCCCACTCTCCCCTAAGCATTTTTGTTTTTACGTTCTCCATTTGCGGCAAGTATGTTAGAGCAGCATTTCATAGGCTTAAGAGCATAGATGCGGACAATGGAGACCTTTATTGAAAGGTCAGCCAGACATGAGCTGAGAGCTTAGTTTAGTGAATCTCTAGATCCCTTCTATACAAAAGAGGAAAACCGTGCACTTTCTATGCATTTGGTAGAGGGTAAAATACAGGTCAAAGAGTCTAATTTAACTATTAGTATTTTAATCTGTATGCTAAACCTCCTGAGTCCCAGACCATATAGGCCTACAACACAGGCAGACAGAAACTTACGCTGAGGTTGACTATGCGGGCAGATGGGTTTCTGAGGGAGGTGCCGGCAGACACATAGTCCTTGCTCTCTACTTTGACAGGGAAGTGCTCATCACATTTAGCATCTGTGTCCAGGGCAGAGGGCCACTCTGTGCAGAACGCTTCAGGGAAAGGAGAAACAGAAATACAATTAAATACTATTGCTACAGTAACATTGGTGTGACTCAATAAGTAATTGTGACTTACGTTTCAGAGCTTCACAGTGTTTCTTTATGGCTGCTGGAGTTAAATGCAAAAAGTTTGGAATCTGAAAGAGACAAGAGTTTTGATAAACGCCTGAATTAGCTACAATGCACAGAACAGAAAAATACTGCTGTACAAGTAAAGTATGTGGAACCAGTATGATCTGACAGCACAATACAATATACAGCTTTAATGGTACACATTATTTCCCTCCCATTGCCAAATAATGCTGACATCAAAAGCTCTGATATCATGCCAAGTTAGAGCTCAAGACCTCTGACCTTGATGAGCTCCAGGTTGCCCTTCTTCTCTGGAGGTACCCCTCTCTTCACTGGGAAGCCCATGCGGACAGGCAGTGGCACAGAGCCCTGTCTGAAGGGGGTAGCGGTCGGGTACACTGCAGTCCAGTCCTGGTCTACAGCCATCCTGTCTGTCCTGGGGTCACCCGCCTGACACACACCATGGAGACAGGGAACAGATGGAAAGGAGACAGTATGTGGGTCAACTTCAAACTATATATTTATTTCTGTCAATATACAGCTTGGAATAAACTTGATACAATCCTCATTACTTATTTTTTAATAGTAAAGAATGTGGGCTGATTTCATGACATGCCCCTCTCTCTCCAAGGACCATAATGTGCTGTAGGAGCCATGTTGGCCTACGTACAGTGCCTTCAGAAAGTATTCACACCCCTTGACTTTTTCAAAAATGTTGTTGCGTTACAGCCTGAAATTAAAATGGATTAAAGAGATTTTTGGGTCACTGGCCTATACACAATACCCCATAATGTCAAAGTGGAATTATGTTTTTCAACATTTTTACAAATTAATAAAAAATTAAAAGCTAAAATGTAATTCAACCCCTTTCTTACGACAAGCCTAAATAAGTTCAGGAGTGAAAATGTGCTTAACAAGTCACATAAGTTGCATGGACTGCAATAATAGTGTTTAACATAATTTTTGAATGACTACCTCATCTCTGTACCCCACACATACAATTATCTATAAGGTCCCTCAGTTGAGCAGTGAATTTTCAATCACAGATTCAACCACAAAGACCACATATTGGTAGATGGCATCCCTTTGAGCATGGTGAAGTTATTAATTACACTTTGGATGGTGTATCAATACACCCAGTCACCACAAAGATACAGGCATCCTTCCTAGCTCAGATGCCGGTGAGAAAATCTCTCTCAGATTCCAACTGCTGATTCATGTTTGGACATATAAATACTGTAAATCTACCAAAGAAAGGTCTGTTAATTGCTCACTTGACTATATGCAGTTTAAGGAACAAGATTCATGAAATATGCTGTCTAGTGCAGTCAAACAATATTCATGTGTTGGCAATATCAGAGACTCACTTGGACTCTTATTTGAGGGTGATGAGATCTCTATACATGGATACAAATTGTTCAGGAGGGACATAAATAGATATGGGGGTGGAGTTGCAGTTTACATCCAGAGTCATATTCCAGCAAAACAACGTAAGGACTTAATGTTGAATGGATTAGAGGTGCTATGGGTATAAGAGCATTTACCACATTTGAAACTTATACTAGTTGGTTGCTGCTATTGGCCACCTAGTGCTGATGTGAAATATCTTGATGTCATTTGCAAAATGTTGTCCAATGAAAAATAAACATTTCTGTTGCCAATGTACAGTACCAGTCAAAGGTTTGGACACACCTACTCCTTCTAGGGTTTTTCTTTATTTTTACTATTTTCTACATTGTAATTTTCTAAACTATGAAATAACACATATGGAATCATGTAGTAACCAAAAAAGTGTTAAACAAATTAAAATATATTTTATATTTGAGATTCTTCAAAGTAGCCACCCGTTGCCTTGATGACAGCTTTGCACACTCTTGGCATTCTCTCAACCAGCTTCATGAGGTAGTCACCTGGAATGCATTTCAATTAACAGGTGTGCCTTGTTAAAAAGTTAATTTGTGGAATGTCTTTCCTTCTTAATGAGTTTGAGCCAATCAGTTGTGTTGTGACAAGGTAGGGGTGGTATCCAGAAGATAGCCCTATTTGATAAAAGACCAAGTCCATATTATGGCAAGAACAGCTCAAATAAGCAAAGAGAAACGACAGTCCACCATTTCTTTAAGACATGAAGGTCAATGTGGAAAATTTGCAGTCACAGAAACCATCAAGCGCTATGATGAAACTGGCTCTCATGAGGACTGCCACAGGAAAGGAAGACCCAGAGTTACCCCTGCTGCAGAGGATAAGTTCGACCGGTGGAAATTTGAGATTTTTGGTTCCAACCGCCATGTCTTTGTGAGACGCAGAGTAGGTGAATGGATGATCCCTGGAAAACCCTGGAAAACAGACCTGTGCTGGTTCGGATCCGAGAGACCCGTTCAGATCCGAGAGTAGAAAGTGAGAGAGAAAGAAACCTCCAACTGGGCGCTGCCAGCGCCTTCAATAAAAAAGCGATATTGGCCAAATTATCCACAGTTACGTGTCCTTAAAAACTGTCTATAACAAAGAAAACTAATATTTGTGTTTCGATGTGGAGCATATTCAAAACTTGAATGAAACCTTCAAAAAGGTTTTGAACAGGCTTATATTGCAGCCATTACCAAAGGCGATTGTCTACCATAGGCCTACCCAACAAATGACAGCAATACTATTGCTATTTCCTTTACAACAGGGCTACTTTTAACCTTAAACTAAATATGGAGCACAAAATTTAAAAAACAGAACTTAATTTAGACAATGAAAATGTCTTAAAATGAAACAAAATACTTTTTGCATAGGGTATTTTTAGAACCCATAGCGGCCGTCGGCTGCCTTTCTTTAAATAACTATAGCGGCCGCGAACAGCCTTGTTTTTCTAACAATAATATCCAGGTCAATATCGCAAAATTAACTTGCAAATAACCTGTTGTCATCAACCAGAAACAGGAAACTGGGCATGCTGTCATTTAACTTTTCAACTTCATTACTCAAAATGACGGCACCGAAGCAGCCAACTTTTCACTGTATCTATTGTTGGTTGGTGATATGGATTCGGACACGTCCTTGCACTTCGAAAAGCGATGATGTCGAGGTGAGTGAAATAAGTAAACAGCAGATATATGTTTGGTGTTGTCAATGTTTGATGCTGTGAAACTTGGGGAATAGCTCTCAGATTAGCAAATCCTGTCATGTTCAATTGGTTGGTACAGGCAAGCACATCAGTAGTGGGGCACGAATGATTGCTCTCCGTCTCATGGAAATAGCTGACTATATATATATATATATATATATACACACATATACATATACACACAGCTAAACACTGCTAGTTAACTAACTAGTTGGTTGTTTTGTCGTTTCTACTGATGTAATGTATATGGAAAACGGCCAAAGCTGTTTGCAATAGCTAGCTAGTTAGTTAGTCTGTCATGCAAGAAAAGTTGTGTGTAGTGGTACATTTTGGCTGCGCTCACAAAGCGTAAACCTCCGCTGTCACTTTCACTAGCTAGCCATACAGACAACCAGCTATCTAGCCACCGAAATGGTTCCATTTGTGTTTATATGTTGTGCTTTGGTTATGGTTTGTCATGTTTGCTAGGTGCAGATATTCATAGGCTATATACTGCCTCGTTTCCTGTTATTTGACAGCTTAGCTGTCATTTTAGGGTAGATGCCCACGCAGTGGAGGAGGAGGGAGAGCACAACTGGGGGAGCCTACGTTTCCATGGAGTGTGTCTGCCCCAAGTCCCACCATTCAATTCACCCTTGTACCACACAGCCTGGGCCTGAAGTGACAGCAGCAGGGGTTTTGGAGTTGTTTTTAAAAGTGGTAGGAACTTATCTGTTCCAGAGCTTGTAATGGTTTACAACAAGAAAATGGGCGAGGTTGACCATCTTGACCAACTGAGGCGCAATTACAATGTTGGACGCACAGGCAGAAAATTGAGGAAGTATGTTTGGGTGATGCTCAACATTGCCATCATAAATGCGTATATTGTGTGGGGGACCTTGCAATGGCCCCTTCCCAGAAACCGCAGGCGCTGGTCCCTGAAGGCAGCTAGTGCATTCACTTTGTGATATGGTTACAGTGGCAGGAAGAGGGGAGCCAAGAGTGTGGCACCAGGGCGTGTGGACCGAGTTGTAACTCTTAATTTGAAAGCAGGTGAAGTTTGAAGGGTGCAAGAGACTGTGTGTGGTGTGCATCCGGAGTGGACACAGGGCAAAGTGTGGGAGATGTGTAGAAACCTCCTTTGGGTGCTCTGTGTGTTCTGTGCCACTTTGCAGGATGGGGCCGTGCTTCCAGAAGTTCCATGACATGTTGTAGACTAAATGCAAACACTAAAGCAGGGGTGTCAAACTAATTCCATGGAGGGCCTAGTGTCCGCAGGTTTTTGGTTTTTCCTTTCAATTAAGCCCTAGACAACCAGGTGTGGGGAGTTCATTACTAATTAGTGACCTTAGTTCATCAATCAAGTAAGTACAAGGGAGGAGCGAAAACCCGCAGACACTCGGCCCTCTGGAGTTCTAGGGAAATGGTGTACTTTTTAAAATATTGTTTTGTATCTTCTCTCTTTATCCGTCTCTAATACTTGTTGCATTCACTGAATTGTTGTCAAAGTAGGCTACTATTTCTACATTTTGTTTCAGGCCTGGTCTTTACTAAATTGTATTGAGAGAGGTTATCTACATTTTGAAATAGTCTCTAAATAGTTGGCATTTTTACAACAATTCTTACTTCTGTAACAATCAAATAGCCTACTTTGTGTGGGTTTTTAAATACTTTCTGAATATTGTACTTTGGTCACATTTTGGATAATATATATATATTTTTTATGTAAGTAAAATATACTTGGTACATTTTGAATGAGTAATTTAGTCAAATTTACTACAATTAAATACTCTAGGGTTTTTTGTTGTGTTGAGTGTTAATTGTTTTTTGATAGTGAGTGTCTTTACACAATGGAAGACAACATTTGTGTTATTCCTATTGACATGGATGTGGTGTCCACAGGACGGGCTCGTGGTAATGGCTGGAGCAGAATGGTATGAAATGCATCAAACACATGATTTCCATGTGTTTGATGCCATTCATTCCATTTGCTCTGTTCCAGCCATTATTATGAGCCGTCCTCCCCTCAGCAGCCTCCACTGGTGGTGTCATATTAAAGAACAGGTTAACTTGTAATTGTCATTTGTTTTTTGTTTTTGAGCTGTTTGAAATGTGTGAGAAAATTAGCATGATCTTAAATTCTCAGTAATCTACAGCAGCATTCTAGAATTCTACTGGGGTCTAAAGGGTTAAAGAACTGGTTTAGATGATTAAATAGGCCTACAATAATAATAAACAATAGACTAAACAATTGATAATAAATACGAAAATCAATAAATGGAAGGTAGAAAATTGCATCAAACCTGAATAGTGAGTTGCACACAGTCCATTTGGCCGAGCCAACGTTCTTCTCATCTTTGTCCACTACAATATTAAAACTTGTCCCTGAGGACATTCTCCTTGTCGACTTCTTTTCACTATACTCTTTTGTTTTACGTCAATTAAAAATAACTACATCTTCGCAATCAACAGTAGCCTAGACCAAGGCTCCTCCTACTCGCTCACTTTCCCTCTCTCTCCTCAGCAGCAGGCGCACGTGAGGTGAGCAGCTGGAACCAGTTTCAGCTGGACATAAGCTATACGTTTTACTGAGTTGCAATTGATCCAGTAGGTGGATTTGTTATGTGCCTACTGCTCAGAGGGAGATGGTATTGCATGTTTCGAGACTCAGGACGAAAGCGGTGGTCTGCTTTGCTCTCTGGAGCAGAGCGCCGCCGAAAGGAGTGATAACTGGGGTGGGATTGAGTGTTAAGGTGGATCAGCTGAAGTTGGGGATCCCGAGTGTCTGTGATGCACACTGTTTGATGTGACTGATTGAGAGACTGGTGCTGAACGAGTGACTGAGGAGACCCTGTCTGTTCTTTTGAGTTTTGATGCAGAGTATTTGCCAGATAAAGTCATGCTAGGTTATCCCGTGAGCGCGTTCGTTTCCGAACCCACTACGGTGTTTCAGGTGGCAAGTTTATGGTCATGTTGCAGCAGTATGTAGGAGGGAGATTCCGGATTTGAGAAGTGTGTGTAGGAGGGCATGGGACAAAAGAGTGTGTAGTTTCGAGGGAAAAGTGGAGTGTTTCAATTGTGGGGGTGGCCATGTTGCTGGGGATCATAAATGTCCTATGCGAGTGAGACAGATTTAAGTTTCCTGGGTGAGAGCAGTGCAGAAAGTGTAATACAGTGGGGGAAAAAAGTATTTAGTCAGCCACCAATTGTGCAAGTTCTCCCACTTAAAAAGATGAGAGAGGCCTGTAATTTTCATCATATGTACATGTCAACTATGACAGACAAAATGAGAGAAAAAAATCCAGAAAATCACATTGTAGGATTTTTAATGAATTTATTTGCAAATTATGGTGGAAAATAAGTATTTGGTCAATAACAAAAGTTTCTCAATACTTTGTTATATACCCTTTGTTGGCAATGACACAGGTCAAACGTTTTCTGTAAGTCTTCACAAGGTTTTCACACACTGTTGCTGGTATTTTGGCCCATTCCTCCATGCAGATCTCCTCTAGAGCAGTGATGTTTTGGGGCTGTCGCTGGGCAACACGGACTTTCAACTCCCTCCAAAGATGTTCTATGGGGTTGAGATCTGGAGACTGGCTAGGCCACTCCAGGACCTTGAAATGCTTCTTACGAAGCCACTCCTTCGTTGCCCAGGCGGTGTGTTTGGGATCATTGTCATGCTGAAAGACCCAGCCACGTTTCATCTTCAATGCCCTTGCTGATGGAAGGAGGTTTTCACTCAACATCTCACGATACATGGCCCCATTCATTCTTTCCTTTACACGGATCAGTCGTCCTGGTCCCTTTGCAGAAAAACAGCCCCAAAGCATGATGTTTCCACCCCCATGCTTCACAGTAGGTATGGTGTTCTTTGGATGCAACTCAGCATTCTTTGTCCTCCAAACACGACGAGTTGAGTTTTTACCAAAAAGTTCTATTTTGGTTTCATCTGACCATATGACATTCTCCCAATCCTCTTCTGGATCATCCAAATGCACTCTAGCAAACTTCAGACGGGACATGACATGTACTGGCTTAAGCAGGGGGACACGTCTGGCACTGCAGGATTTGAGTCCCTGGCGGCGTAGTGTGTTACTGATGGTAGGCTTTGTTACTTTGGTCCCAGCTCTCTGCAGGTCATTCACTAGGTCCCCCTGTGTGGTTCTGGGATTTTTGCTCACCGTTCTTGTGATCATTTTGACCTCACAGGGTGAGATCTTGCGTGGAGCCCCAGATCGAGGGAGATTATCAGTGGTCTTGTATGTCTTCCATTTCCTAATAATTGCTCCCACAGTTGATTTCTTCAAACCAAGCTGCTTACCTATTGCAGATTCAGTCTTCCCAGCCTGGTGCAGGTCTACAATTTTGTTTCTGGTGTCCTTTGACAGCTCTTTGGTCTTGGCCATAGTGGAGTTTGGAGTGTGACTGTTTGAGGTTGTGGACAGGTGTCTTTTATACTGATAACAAGTTCAAACAGGTGCCATTAATACAGGTAACGAGTGGAGGACAGAGGAGCCTCTTAAAGAAGAAGTTACAGGTCTGTGAGAGCCAGAAATCTTGCTTGTTTGTAGGTGACCAAATACTTATTTTCCACCATAATTTGCAAATAAATTCATGGAATTTTTTTTCTCAATTTGTCTGTCATAGTTGACGTGTACCTATGATGAAAATTACAGGCCTCTCTCATCTTTTTAAGTGGGAGAACTTGCACAATTGGTGGCTGACTAAATACTTTTTTCCCCCACTGTATGCAGAGGCAGTGAGGAAAGAAGAGGATGGTGGGCAAAGGGTTAGGGAGCCTGAGAGGATCCCTGTGAGTAGTATGCCAGTACAGAGTGACCCGCACAGTTTGTGCTTTAGTAATGGTGGCTTCTTGGCGTTTATTGCTAAAGTTATTACATTTTACTGCACAGATGGGCAGGAAATCACAGAAAATTGAAGTGGTAGTAGCAGCAGCAGAGACGTTTTTGGGTATGAGAGATTTTTTCAAACCGGAATGTTTTACTTCATTATGAGGCATGTCTTACCTTGCTTGAAAATCCAACCATAGAAACATTGAGGCAATTATTTTATAAAGACTTCATAGGAAGCGTGTGAGTTTCAAGTTTGGGGAAGCATACAATTTATCCTACCACTTCGACCGATCTGCGTGCCAGTTATGATTTTCATATGGACATCGTGGAACAGTTTCATTTCAATAGTAATGTTATCGTTTCTCAAAATCAATGTCACATGTTTAGTCATAGAAATCTGAATTAAAATGATACAAATATAAAAGTAAAAATTCAACTAATGTGATAGCACCAGCCTCTGCCATATGGACACATTGATAGACTGATCATTGGAGGCTAAATAGACTGATCATTGGAGGCTAAATAGACTGATCATTGGAGGGTAAATAGACTGATCATTGGAGGCTAAATAGCCTAAATGTGTGCATAGAACTCAGACGGCCAATAACTTCCACTGGCAACCAGGTAAAAATATATAAAGCCAACATATAAGAACAGTAGAAAATATACTTATGACAATTCTGGTTATTTTATTCACATTAATCTCTCTACAGCCTGTCTTTTTATTGGTCTTGACTTGAGCTATCCCTAGTAAAGAGCAACATTGTATCAAATCAATCAACTGGATCTAGCCCAAAGCTGTCTCTAGCTAACTTGCAACATTGTATCAACTAGCCTATTCCTAGCCCTCAAGAGGTTTCTGCAAGAGTTTTCTGGCCAGTGAGCTTGGGACAGACAGCTGTTTTTGCCCAAGGGAAAAGTATTTTAGGACGATTCCACTGGAAATATGGGATCATCAGATTATGATATTTTGCTCTTTCACAAAGGCTTGGTGATTATCGAGGGGCAGATTGTTGGAAAGATTTTTCAAATAGGCCCACTATGAAGAACTATTAGGCTATCATTCGCAATTGATGTAAAAAAAAAAAAACAGCCTTAGTTGACTTATTGTGTGAGATGAAGAAACAATGATTGAGAAGTTCAGTTTATCGGTGGTGGATGTGGTGAGTTAAGAAAATCAGAAGTCAAACATCCCCAAATGGGAACTTTATTACATTTATGCGCAGCAGGCCACTTCTACGCATGCTCAGGCGCGTGCGCGCTCCCTCAACATTAACAAGACAGAGAAACCAGACCCATGATCATTGCTTACAAGGAGCACTCCAAACAAGACAATGGAAATAATTGCCAAGTCGTAAATGATTGTTATGAAATAAACAGTTGTATGCATATGGGTCCGGTACATTCTCAAATGGCCGGTAAATTAAAATATTCCTGGTCACATTGTCTGGCGCCATTTTCCTAACGGAAACCCTGATATATAGGGTTAGATGGCATGCCACTCCCCCCCCCCCCCCCACATTTCCCTTTTTTAGTGACCAAAATGTGCAATCCGCACAAAATGTGCAGTTCTCATCACACAAACACTACATCAACATAGGAAAGGTCCAATCGGTTCCAGAGGGTATATCAATTTTAATTTGCACACTCCAGACCTCTGGCAATTATATCAGAGCCGACCCAGAACCAAGACAAAAGTCAGAATTTAGGACCCGGAACCGGTCGGATCTCGGGTCTGTTGGATCTACAACAAACAACAATCCTTGTTGTCCACTCACCTCTCTCCTTGGTCTTCGGTTGAAAGGTCCTCTGTTCCCTCTGTCAGGAAAGCCTGAAATTGAAATCGATTGTGTCAGAAAAACACGATACAGCCTACTTTTAATTATCCTAGCAGCTAGCTATGCGGTCTCCAACTTTCTATATGAAACTTAGACATTATTGGGACCAGGATTCATATAGTCATTGGGACCACGCTAGCTAGCTAGTTAGCTCCACGTCGTGACAGCATTGTATTGCATGGAAACTCACCTTTATTTTGACTAGAATTATTGGTAGACAAGGCCGTTGCATATGTGGCCCTGTTTAACGGGTTACGCACATTAACTCCATAAATGTGACAATTTATTCGTCCTACGAACAAAATTGATTTCTTCAATGTGTGTGCAGCCATGTTTGGGCAATGTCAACCTATGGCGAGTCGAGAGGGGCAGTCGTTTAGCGCTTGCGAAATAGAACATGAATACAGCATTGGGTATCAGTGCCCCCCTTTGGTATAGATAATGAACTGCAATATGGGAAAAGGTGAACGCATTAGCCTATGAATTACAAATGTTTTATTATGTATTTTCGTAAAATGTAGGTCTATTTTAGAATTTCTGAACTTCATCTGTTAGACTACATTATAGGAGCTCAACAATATTGTAATGGTGTTTATGCTTGGGATTAGCTAATTATTCGCATGATCGTTATCTAAAAAAGTACTGTTTCTGATTGTTTCATTCTTGGTAGAAAAAAAAAGGTTTTTGAGTGGCTGAGGTCACGTGAGTCAGGTGGATAACGCTGTGCGCAAGATGGCAGGCTCTGTCCGCATGTGTCCTTCAGCATCCCTGCCACCCTGCGCGCATCGCCAGCTGCTGCTTTAACAAACAGTAACACAACACTACCCGGTTCCTGACAGACACACATCAGAGAAAAGCTGTTAGGGACAGAAACAACGACCTGAGTTTCTGTATTCTAATGTTTCATTTTCCATGGTGTCCACTGTCATTTACGCACAAAAAATAATTGCGGTTGGGTACCACTTTGAAGGGAAGATAGGCTAACTGTATGTCTTCAGCCGAAAGGTAGGTTCACTTTTTTATTTAACATGAAAGGAATTTAGGCTACTAAACTGTCTGAAATGATTTATTTTAGATTTAGATTTTTAGGCCTATTAGGACTTTTGTAATAACTCTAGCTGAAATGGAAACATCTTAATATAATAATATACTTATGTCTGGCAGATACCTTTTTCCAAAGCTCATCTTAAGCATCTGATCTGTGCACATCTGTTAGTTTGATGGCCCAAAATACAACTACTGTAGCCTGAACACAAGCATACATGACAGCTCTGACAAGTGTCACAGTTATAGGCCTGTTGTCTTTCTTTTAACTGTTTTGTTTGTGTTAAATACTGTATGCATCAAACCATGTGCTCTAATCATAATTTCAACATCCTCTCAGTCTTCACACAAGTGTTTTACCCAAACCATGTTTAGACCTAAACATTTGAGTATTCAAACTAAAAAGATGCAGTGTAAGGTTAAGAGGATGATATTCCTATGTGGAATGAGTGATGGATTTGCCTGTCCATTTTTCCATGTATCCCTTTGTAACTGAAGGTAATATAGAAGTCATATGCCTGACAGAGTTATTGTGTGTTTGATGGTTGTCCAGCGTAGCTTAAACAACAGAGAAACTCAATCTATGAACTGGGGACAGCAGCAGTGTTTGTGAAACCAGACTGTCTTCACATTCTCTGCTGTGGAGGACAGACATGGAGGGTTGGTAGCTCCTGTTACGTTCCAGCCTCCCACCACAAAGGCTTGTTTCCGAGGGCTTAAGTGACCATGATCCATTCATCACTTTTCAGACCCAGTTCAGTTTCCAGAAATACTGTATATTGACCCCTGCTAATTAGTGCACTTGTCTTTTCTGGTGGATGATGCTAGAGAAGGAGAAGGAGAGGGAGAGAGAGAGGGGGTAGAGATTGAACATGATAGACTATGCCTAAAGTCAATGCTATCAGGGTGGTATCTCACCTGAGATAAAGCTCTTGTGTGATCCTCTCTATGTGTTGTATACCTTGTGTGTGGTGACCTCTGGTCTGTACCATTGGCTGTGGACTGTATCATGCATTGTTTCTACTCAGTGGTGTCAGTGGATTCACAGAGCTCAGGGTGCCACTCACACACTATCTGTCACCAAACTCAGATGGTCTCATGCCTCTCAACCTTGGACTGCTTGACATCCATCATCATTACCTGTTTGTAAATTGTGAGTTTATTGTCTGCTTGTTCTGTTGTTGTAAACACAGATCACATGTGAAAGGAGATAGCTGTAATGATGATGCATAGAGATGCCCCACTTCTCCAAATCCGTAGTTACAATAGTAATCCCCTGTCTATCCTCATCCGATTCCCCATGCAACATTAATGGACCAGAATCCTCTGTGAGATCTCTCAGGACTCAGGCTGGGCACATGACTCAAGTTTCAAGTTTTATTGTCGTGTGCACAAGTACAGTAAAATGACTTTCTTGCAAGCACTTTTCCAACAATGCAGTAATTAATATCCGTAGTACTATAAAATAAAGTACAGGGTCAGTGCCAATACCATATTTACAATGTCCAGGGTTACTGGAGTGGTAGGGGTAGATACTGTATGTATAGGGGTAAGGTGACTAGGCATCAGGATATATGATACAGTGAGGGAAAAAAGTATTTTTATCCCCTGCTGATTTTGTACGTTTGCCCACTGACAAAGACATGATCAGTCTATAATTTTAATGGTAGGTTTATTTGAACAGTGAGAGACAGAAGAACAACAAAAAAATCCAGTAAAACGCATGTCAAAAATGTTATAAATTGATTTGTATTTTAATGAGGGAAATAAGTATTTGACCCCTCTGCATAACATGACCTAGTACTTGTTGGCAAAACCCTTGTTGGCAATCACAGAGGTCAGACGTTTCTTGTAGTTGGCCACCAGGTTTGCACACATCTCAGGAGGGATTTTGTCCCACTCCTCTTTGCAGATCTTCTCCAAGTCATTAAGGTTTCGAGGCTGACGTTTGGCAACTCGAACCTTCAGCTCCCTCCACAGATGTTCTATGGGATTAAGGTCTGGAGACTGGCTAGGCCACTCCAGGACCTTAATGTGCTTCTTCTTGAGCCACTCCTTTGTTGCCTTGGCAGTGTGTTTTGGGTCATTGTCATGCTGGAATAACCATCCACGACCCATTTTCAATGCCCTGGCTGAGGGAAGGAGGTTCTCACCCAAGATTTGACGGTACATGGCCCCGTCCATCGTCCCTTTGATGCGGTGAAGTTGTCCTGTCCCCTTAGCAGAAAAACACCCCCAAAGCATAATGTTTCCACCTCCATGTTTGACGGTGGGGATGGTGTTCTTGGGGTCATAGGCAGCATTCCTCCTCCTCCAAACACGGCGAGTTGAGTTGATGCCAAAGAGCTCGATTTTGGTCTCATCTGACCACAACACTTTCACCCAGTTCTCCTCTGAATCATTCAGCTGTTCATTGGCAAACTTCAGATGGGCCTGTATATGTGCTTTCTTGAGCAGGGGGACCTTGCGGGCGCTGCAGGATTTCAGTCCTTCACGGCGTAGTGTGTTACCAATTGTTTTCTTGGTGACTATGGTCCCAGCTGCCTTGAGATAATTGACAAGATCCTCCCATGTAGTTCTGGGCTGATTCCTCACCATTCTCATGATCATTGCAACTCCACGAGGTGAGATCTTGCATGGAGCCCCAGGCCGAGAGAGATTGAGAGTTATTTTGTGTTTCTTCCATTTGCGAATAATCGCACCAACTGTTGTCACCTTCTCACCAAGCTGCTTGGCGATGGTCTTGTAGCCCATTCCAGCGTTGTGTAGGTCTACAATCTTGTCCCTGACATCCTTGGAGAGCTCTTTGGTCTTGGCCATGGTGGAGAGTTTGGAATCTGATTGATTGATTGTTTCTATGGACAGGTGTCTTTTATACAGGTGACAAACTGAGATTAGGAGCACTCCCTTTAAGAGTGTGCTCCTGATCTCAGCTCGTTACCTGTAGAAAAGACACCTGGGAACCAGAAATCTTTCTGATTGAGAGGGGGTCAAATACTTATTTCCCTCATTAAAGTAAATAAATTTCTAAAATTTTTACATGCGTTTTTCTGGATTTTTTTGTTGTTATTCTGTCTCTCACTGTTCAAATAAACCTACCATTAAAATTATAGACTTATCATTTCTTTGTCAGTGGGCAAATGTGCAAAATCAGCAGGGGATCAAATACTTTTTTCCCTCACTGTAAATGGAGTAGCAGCAGTGTATATGATGATTGTACTGTATGTGAGTGTGTGTGCATGTGTAGAGTCAGTATGAATGTGTGTGCATGTTACAGTGCCTTTTGAAAGTATTCAGAACCCTTGACTTTTTCCACATTTTGTTACATTACAGCCTTATTCTAAAATGGATTTTTTTTTTAAATCCTCAGCGATCTACACACAATACCCCATAATGACAAAGTGGAAACAGGTTTTTAGAAATTTTTGCAAATGTATTAAATAGAAAAAACAGAAATACCTTATTTACATAAGTATTGAGACTCTTTGCTATTCAGGTGCATCCTGTTTCCATTGATCATCCTTGAGATGTTTCTACAAGTTGATTGGAGTCCACCTGTGGTAAATTCAATTGATTGGACATGATTTGGAAAGGCACATATCTGTCTATATAATGTCCCACAGTTGACAGTGCATGTCAGAGCAAAAACCAAGCCATGAGGTCGAAGGAATTGTCTGTAGAGCTCCGAAAGAGGATTGTGTCGAGGCACAGATCTGGGGAAGGGAACCAAAACATTTCTGCAGCATTGAAGGCCTCCATCATTCTTAAATGGAATAAGTTTGGAACCACCAAGACTCTTCCTAGTGCTGGCCGCCCGGCCAAACTGAGCAATCGGGGGAGAAGGGCCTTGGTCAGGGAGGTGACCAAGAACCCGATAGTCACTCTGATAGAGCTCTAGAGTTCCTCTGTGGAGATGGGAGAAACTTCCAGAAGGACAACCATGTCTGCAGCATTCCACCAATCGGGCCTTTATGGTAGAGTGGCCAGACGGAAGCCACTCCTCAGTAAAAGGCACATGACAGCCCGCTTGGAGTTTGCCAAAAGGCACCTAAAGACTCTCAGACCATGAGAAACAAGGTTCCCTGGTCTGATGAAGCAAAGGTTGAACTCTTTGGCCTGAATGCCAAGCATCACGTCTGGAGGAAACCATCCCTACGGTGAAGCATGGTGGTGGCAGAATCATGCTGTGGGGATGTTTTTCAGCGGCAGGGACTGAGAGACTAGTCAGGATCGAGGCAAAGCTGAACGGAGCAAAGTACAGTGAGATCCTTGATGAAAACCTGCTCCAGAGCACTCAGGACCTCAGACTGGGGTGAAGGT